TTTGTTACATAATAATAATAATAATAATAATAATAATAATAATAATAATAATAAAAAACAACTTTATATTCCATTCTATCTCCCTGGAGGGACTCAGGATGGGTTCCAAACATAAAAGGCAATTATTCAATGCCCGAATACAACAACACATCAATACTAACAAAATTTAAATGACCCAACATAGCTGACAATGTAGCAAGCACATTCAGAAAATAATCCCTTTGTTATGTCAAACATCATGTAGCAGAGTGGACTACATGGTGTTAACATTGTAACAGATATCATGGGAATACATACAATACTTCCTCTTGTGCTGATCTTGTTTGTATATTGATCACTCATCATGATACTATAATGAATAGAAAACCACTATCTGAATGATCTTAAGAGCACATATAAGATGATGATTCTGGAAATCATGTGCTCTTAATGATTCATTTCTTTATGCTTGATCATTTAGTACAGTACAATTCCCATTTTCCATTAAAATGGTATAGGTGGTCTAATGTAGTACTGCTTGAACTCTGCTCCTTCAGGTGTTTTGGACTTCAGTTCTCAGAAATCCCAGTTATCTTACCAGCTGTTAGGAATTGTGGGAGATGGAAGTCCAAAACACCTGGATGGATAGTTTGAGGAACAGTGGTGTCATGTATCACATCTGACAAAACACACCCCCTTTCTAGGCATTTTCTAGAGTCTCCAGCATGACTCTATAATATTTTGGGGCCAAACATCCTTAATTTCAATAAGGTTTGCTATTATCTATGGTTTCATGTATCCTCTTCAAATATAAAGGTTATACTGTACTTCCGATTGCGAGTGCCTGAGGAGGCAACAGAGTCCAATTTTGCCAAATCATGTGAGGGGCAAGGTCAGTCCCCCAGGATAGTCGTTTGCCCATGTTCCTTTTGAAGAAAGCCCCCTGCATGTCTCTATCAGAAAATCTCAGAGCAATTTAGTTAAAATCAATAGAAATATGTCAAACTGTTAAAATAATTTAGATGTCCTGAAAACATATTGAACACATTAATAAATTAAAACAGGCTTAAGAGGTTAGAATACTCCCAAACCATAATCCCTGTATGTATGTTTTGAAGTAAATATATGAGGCTCAATGGTGTTAATAAGCAGCTATGCTTTTATTCAGCACCTAATGAAACTTGTGTTGGTGCCTATCAGGCCTCCAAGGAGAGATCTTTCACAGTTAATGAGTGCCATGGTTGAAAAGGCCCTTATTCATACAGTGCATTGACTTCACTGGGATGACACTGTGTGGTCAGGCATATATACTTAGAGGTGGTCCCTCAAGTATCGAGGTCTTATGCTATTTACGGCAGGCATTTAGCCGGGGGGGGGGGGGCTTGAGGGGCTTCAGCCCCCCCCCCTCAAAATTCTCATGGTGGTTCGCGAAAAGGCCTTACTGGTGCATTATTTAAACTGTTATGTTTATTCATATCATGATCTGATCACCATACTCAATATATCCCATATGCACGGGGGTATTGGGGTAATGATACAAAAGGTTTGCTAGGATAGACCCTCTTTCACTCAGACTCAGCCCCCCCCCCCCCAAAATCGAAATCCTGGCTACGGGCCTGATTTACGGTGTTCAATAGTATTGAAATAATCTTAACTTCAAACCAGAAGTGCATAGTATAAAAGCTAGATACCTAAAGGTAAAGGTGTCCCCTTGACATTAAGTTTAGTCATATCTGACTTCGTGGGGTGGTGCTCATCTCCATTTCTAAGCCGAAGACCTGGCATTGTCCGTAGACACCTCCAAGGTCATGTGGCCAGCATGACTTCATGGAGCACAGTTACCTTCCTGCAGTAGCAGTACCTATTAATCTACTCACATTTGCATGTTTTCGAACTGCTAGGTTGGTAGAAGCTGGGGCTAATGGGAGCTCACCCTGTCCGTAAATTCGAACCACCAGCCTTCTGATCAGCAAGTTTTGCAGCTTAGCAGTTTAACCCGCTGCACTAGCCCTTTACTACTCTGATGACAGAAAGAGTTGAAACATCTAAATAACTTTGTGATTCTTGCACACAAATAAGCATGCTGTTCTTTTTGTAGGAATACCACGTGCACCTTGTTTTCCCTGTTAGATCTGGTATAATGTGCCCAGCTACACTGTTTTACTTTGATATTAGTTAAGAGAAATATCAGTGTGCTGTTCTTTTCTAAATATTTGATATAGTTATAAAACCAGCTTAAATGAAAAACATATCTAAGGCATTTGGGGTATATTTATATATTGTAATGCCTTGCAAATATGACTTTCTTCTTTCCAAAAATATGTTGGGAGTCTGGTAGGAAAAGTTGCCTCCTTCCTTACCACAATAGTTTTCCATCCACATGATCAGATTGGAGAGTGAAGAAGCTAAAGAAAAGCTGGACTGTCGTGTCAGGATATCCTGTTGTATTTATCTAACAAAGTCAGATGCATGACTCATCAGACTGTTTTAATAACTACTATCTACCTACTGGGCAGTTTTCCCTTCTGCTTGTTTAAATGTCTTTTCTACATACTGCATATTCAGACTAGCCTTCAGCTGAAAAGCTTCCCAGAGTGGATTACGTAAGATTAAAAAATGCAACAGAGAGCCCCTTCCTGTAGGCTTCAAAGACAAAACACAAAAGGAAAACAAAAAAGAATGACGATGATAGAAAGCAAATAAACTTAGGCACCGGTTGTGACGTTTACATGAAATTCTTTCTAATGGATGCAGTTCAGGGAAAGAAGCCAAGTGGAGCTCTTCTCTCAACAGACCCAATGCCTGGCTTCCCATCTTTCTCTCTCTGTTCCAGTCCTAGGGAATAGCTGCTGGCAAGTGACAAGAGGAAGGAAGAAGCCCAATGGAGATGTTTTCTCAAGCAGAGTGGCCTTGTTTCCGATCTGTATCAGCTCCTCCCCCAAATTAGAAAATCCATTAAACCTATTAAACCTTTACTAATAAACCTGGAGGGTTCACAACAGACATCTACATTTGTGCCTTAGCTGATTAGTTGATGATAATTATTATCCCAATAGCTTAGTTAATCTAAATATTTTTGTGCAACACTATTTTGTATAACATTATTTTATAAACCATATGAAATGCTAGAAATCAGAAAACAAAACCACTGTTGTTTTCTAACCCAAAAGTAAATATTGGGCTCCGCCAATATTTAATTCTCAGGCCAATAAAATCTAGCAGTGACTACTAATTCCATATCTTCAGAAGGACAAAGTTCAATGAACATTAATACCAATATTACACATCATGTAATGCAGTTGTTTAAAACTCACATGATGATTTGTAATAACGGTCAGTAGGTAACTTCCTTGACTTTCACAAGCATAGAATTGCAGTGGGAGCCAATTAGTGCCATGTGGTTGTACAAGGCAGTGTTATGACAACACTCCCCCTTTTAACCTTATTCCTGCTTGGATGGGAGAACTGAGCAGATGTTTACTAAAGGAAGGAAGCATTACAAAAAAGGCATCTATTTCTGGATCATTATTGCTTCAAATTGAACTGCATTATAATGCTGCTGAAAGATCACCCATACGCTAAGAAGTGATTCTATTCTGGGTTTAAGTTTGGCATTTCCTCCAGCCGAACCATCTAATTAATTTCTACTTCATATTTGGTTTTTAATTTCCCTCTTACCACCATATTCTACATTCCAGCAGGTGTGTCACATGAATGTAACAACAAATGACAACTATTTTGAAAATGCACATTATCTCACAAATCACATATTTTTAAAATAGATTTTCATGAGATGTTATGTCCCCATACATTTCACTATGACAATGTATGTATGTGTCTGTAACTCTTTATAAGGGTTTGGTTTAACCTCTGGTTTGCTAGTAAAACTGAATTACTGTATCACAAAATGATCCAAGTCTAAAAAGTGTCACCAACATTAAATGTTTGGGAGCTTTTCTTCTACATGTTCAATCCATCAATCCACCTTGGTTTTGTGGGGAGGATGTATCCTTGAAGTGTGAAATATATATATATTGCACTTCTGTGAACAATGGAATTGCCCTGATCATGCTAATCAAAAAGTCATTCGATTTCTCATCAGCCTTTTTGGCAAAAGTTGCTGTTGGCAGCCACTCCCTGAATTTGTTTTTGGAAAGGAAGATGGACATAACCATCAATATACAATAATTGATCTCTTCGTTAACTGTTAACTTTGCTCCCCAAATGCCAGATTACATTACTCCCAAGAATTTTCACTCAGTTGAGAACAGCAACTAATCAGAGTCACTGGAGCAAAATGGCTGACACCCCAGTAAGTACAACTGGCCTTCCACATTTTAGAGTTCAACTTTTGCAGTTTGATTGCACAGCCCAACATTTCTTTTCTTGGTGTCTTGGCTTTTAGGCCTGTTCCTTGGGTTATTTGGGGCACTGATTCAGAAAGTCGCATTGGATAGACCGCACCACTTCTAGTTTATTATACATAGTTAACATGATTTTCTATGGGTGAGCTGGAAGATGGTATATGTTCTGTATCTCAAAAACTAGAAATGATAGGAGAAACCTGGTGTCATTTTTAGAATCAGCAAATCAAATATATCCAGAAACAGGGGTAATGTTTAAGAAAATCCTCTTCTTTAGCCATCCACGTTCTTCCCTACTCTCATGTCTTCCCTTTCAACTGTTATTTGTGTATTTTCATTTTTTCTCAGTTTTTGTAATTTCAACTTTTCCAGCTCTTACTTCTCCCTTCAGTTAATAAGTATTCTCTTTCCTTTAATCTCAATCTCTCGTGAATTCCACTCTACTGAAACATATTCTACTTTTTAAAATAGACAAAACTAGTATTTAATATTAATATATTCAACTTTTTAAAAAAGCCAAAATCAGAATCTAAAGTACCTATTGTTGGCATAGAAAGGTCAGTCTCTCAATTTAAGAAACATTTCAAAATACAGACTTTCTATATAAACTAAAGTCTATTTATGTCTTTGTCACTTCACCGAACACCACAGAAAATATGTTTTATTATAAAACATTTTATTGGCACTGCAGCAGATATTCCAAATGATCTCTTCTTAAAAAAAAAAAGAAAAAAAAAAGACAGCCATTGATTTTAGAATCAGATGAAGGGATAAAATTCAGAAATTTCGGACCATCAATTTTGCCTTGATAAGTCATTCATTTACCCAAACCCATTATGATGCATTTTCTCTGATCAGGTTTCCAAAATAAGCAGTTATGGTCTTCAACCTGTTGTTCAGAAAATTTTGTTCTATTTCAACTTTGCCTCCTGGTCCAGCTAAGGAAGCCACCTAAAAAGTAAAAAATGCACACATAAACACAAATATATATATTTTAAATTCCAATGTAATATCGCCATATTATGCTATATTTGAGAGAAAGGCACAGCTGTAATAATAAACAACATCCTAAATTAGTGTTTACTGTTTGGTGAGCAAAGTTTTTTTACAATTCATGTTACTCTTTCTACCAGCAGTATAATACAGGCAGTCTCTGAGTTACAAACATCCAACTCACAGTTAAGAACGGGGGTGAGACAACAGGAAGTGAGAGAAATCTACTCCGAGGAACGGAAACTCACTCCTGGAAGAGTAATCATGAGGAAATGGTGCCGCCAGTGAAGCTTTATCACCAATCTTTATTTCCACATCAACCTACAATAATCTTTTCAAAATCCAATTATCACAGAGATAGAAAGTGAGGTGAAATTTTCTGAACAGGGACATAGACAGAAAAAGAAAAAAAAACACTACCGGATGATAACCCTTCCCTATGCTATCCATAGCTAAAGCAGATATATTTTTGCTTAGATTTACACTTAAAATATGCTCCTGTTCCAACTTACAAACAAATTCAACTTAAGAGGTGGTGGTGGAGGCTCCTTCTTTGAAGGTTTTTAAACAGAAGCTGGATGGCCATCTGTCAGGGGTGCTTTGAATGCCATTTTCCTGCTTCTTGGCAGCGGGTTGGACTGAATGGCACACAAGGTCTCTTCCAACTCTATGATTCTAAGAACAAACCTACAGAACCTATCTTGTTCGAAACTTGGGGACTACCTGTAGGTGCAAAAGAATATATTGGCCCTTAAAAATGCTCCTCTCTCCCTGCTCAATTACCCTCATTGTCCACAAGGTCTCCGTTGATTAATATTTGAATTCCCCATCAATAACCTATTTGCTGGATCAGACCAATAGTCTATATAGTCCAGCCTTCCCTTGGTAAGCATGCTAAAACTCCTCCAGTAGTGCTGACGCTTGTAATAGAGACAATCTATAGCTATTGCAATTAGTAGCATGTAACAATATGATATCTCATTGATATACTTTATTACTTTTACAGTTGTCCAGATTTGCAGCCGTCTTAGGGTAGTAACTTACAGCTTCAATTCAAAACTGTTGCAGTCTATTTAAAGCCCTGGGCATGACAGAAGGAGTCACATTTCCTCAGTCATGTATGTTCATCATGTACATACAAGGCACTTGCTGATTAAGTAAACATCCTTATAATGTAACATTCTTATAATGGAAAAGTTATCTTTGAAAAGATATCATCTTTTCCCCCACAAAATAAGAAATAGTCATTGGGATGGTCTTACAATCTACAAGCTGCCATTCAATAATTATTTCTAGGGCAGTTTAGTTAAAAAGAAATCATGGAAAGGTATTTTCATATTGCGTTCATATTAGCATAAAATATTTAATTTGATGACTGATTGTTTAGTTTTTAATCAGTGATAGTAAGGCTGATTTATTCAAATAAAAGATTACATATATATTTGTCATTAAAGTCATGGAGAAAGAACCACAAGTCTTGCCTAAACAAACTCTACTAACGTTTCTATTTAAGAATTGAACTGGTTAGACCAGATACTATATTCCACAACTACAATGCGACTTTATTTACCTTGCCAGCACTGATAGTACCTGGTAGCATCAGTACACGCAGGTCTTGAAAAGATCAAGGATGGTTTATGCTGACTGCTATATTTAAATCAGTGATCAGTTCCTACATATTGTATATCAAACTGTCTCTATTTTCTTTCTGTTTTCTTTTGAAACTTCAGCTGCAAAAACACTAGTCCAAACAGACTTCACTTCCCTATTTTTAAGCTATTAATAAAAACTCTTCACTTACTGTAAAAAGGGAGGAAGTAAAGTAGGATTAATCATTGAAGAGACAAACCTCTTGTATGCCAAAGTGAAATTAGACACCCAAAAGCTCCCTTTCTTTTAAAATGTGTTCAAAAATCAAATAAAATGTTTTTAAAAGAAAAAAAAATTGAACAAAAAAGAAAACAAACTGGGAACCACAAATCAGAAGCTGGTTATAAAGGCAGCAAAATTACATTATTATATGAAGATAATGCACACCCATGGAGTTTCTAAGAGAAATACCATAGAGATATGGATTGGAAAGTTTAGTTATAAATTTATATTCACCAAAGATCTAATTCATACCTAAGATAATCACAGCCCATGGAAAGACTTGGATTGATAGGAATGAACTAGGCAGCTGAAAGTGCCAGAGTAAAATAAGTGAGTCAACTTCTTAACTTTCACTCTATTTCTAGGAGCCCCCAGTGGCGCAATGGGTTAAACCCTTGCGCCGGCAGGTCTGCAGACCGACAGGTTGGCGATTTGAATCCGAGGAGTGGGGTGAGCTCCTGTCTCATCTCTAGCTTCACACGTGGAGCATGAGACAAGCCTCCCTCAGGATGGTAAAAAAAATCAAACATCTGGGCGTCCTCTGAGCAATGTCCTTGCAGACAGCCAATTCTCTTACACTAGAAGTGACTTGCAGTTTCTCAAGTTGCTCCTGACATACACAAGTCCCCCGCCCCTATTTCAGACTATATCTTCTCTTTTCAACCTGTTTTCTCTTCATCTATAAGTCTTCTGGTGAGAGGACCTGAACTGATAACTGCATAAGAAGTCTAAGATTGGGTAGAGGAGCCAGTGATATTAAGCTGACTGCTGTAGGCTGCCATCCTTGCTATAAACTTTTAAGTGGACATTGAAAAGTCATGAATTCTTCTCATTCCAGCTATTCAGATTCTTGCTAGATAAAAGAAGAGTTCTCCAATAAGGTGGCAGGGAGGCAAAATACTGTTTAAGAAATTGCTATCTTATGTATAGCCTGCAAAATCACGCCTCAGCAGTTTCAGCTCCTGTGTACGTGAAAATGAGCCAAGACCCAATTATAGACTGGCTTTTTTTGCAACTACATTTCTCCAAAGTTTACTGAACTTTGACAGTGAATCAGGGGAATAACTATATTGCACAATTTTAAAACAAATGCTCTCTGCGTTTACTCAGTTCCTGTCCATTGCAATATATTTCCATTCAGTTATCTTATTTAAGTAGAGGGTACAAAAATTAATGTACATTTTTAAACACACAAATATCATGCTAATGTAGAGTTTATAATTACAGACATATTTAGGTACAATCTAGTTCACTACTGTCACACTGTCTATACATAGAGGTTAAAGGGACCTGTTCCCCACTGCCAACCATTTATATGCAAGTGGGCAATAGTTTTGAAGGGGGAATAGAAGATTTCCACTTCTTTCCTTTGCTTCAGAATGTAGCTTACAGTATATGGGCACAGAGAAACACATAAAACGTCTCATTCCGATTAACAGTATAGAGTGCCATAGGTGGAAATTAGCGATATGCTTCCATACATGGATGGACCATGCTGCTCCTATGGGGACCAGATTATATTTAGTCCATAGACCTCTTAGAATTTAAAAGGAAAACTATTTTTGTTCCCCTGCTACTTATCATAACATTCACTGTCTTTAATCCCTCCAGCATCCTGATAAGAGTGTTTTTATTCTTCATATGAACCAGCAACTGTGGTTCTGTGAGTATGCACATTTTCAAGACCATAAGACGACCCATTCCAAATTAATGTATGTAGGCATGTGAATCAATATTTATTTAAACAATACTTGCACAATATACAGTGTTACTGTATCTCCTTTGTGATCTAAATCAGGACTATTCAAAGGTTTTCTCATCTCTGATTAGAAAGGGTATTAACACATCAAGATACCCAATCACAAAATGGCAAATTGCCATGAGATCTTTCATATATCAGAATGTTATGGAATTTCATTTTAATAAAAAAATACTTTCCAAATCAATAAACCTTTAAAATACTTTAGTATATACAAACTGTTGGAGGTTTGTCACAGCTATATCTATCTCTAAATTAAGACCAGCAGGCAGAAATGAGTTTTGAACTAAAGAATTAGTTTTGTAATCGCTGTGCTACACTACACCTTAAATTACAACTTACCTGATCTATGTCTGCATTGCGGGGAAGAAAATACACAATGTTGTTGGTAATCTTTTGTGACAGCTTGAAAACTTCGAATGTATAGAGAGGTTAAGGAAGAAAAAAATACATATTGCTTCAGTATTTTAAATAACACAGGAATAGGGACCCATTTAAAATGCTGGCCTCATGTTACTCCGTCAAGTTCCTGTTGGTCCAATGATATTGGGTGCATGACAAAAACATGGGGACTTATGTGCACAATGACTCCACAAAAATTCATAATTACGAACCCAGAGAGAATAATTATTAATATGGTATATACAGAGTGAATATCCCTTTTCTGAAATACTTGGGACTGGAAGTGTTCTGTATTTTGGAATTTTTAAGGTGATATTTGAATACTTGTTCATAAGGTAAAGTAAAGGTTTCCCCTGACATTAAGTCTAGTCGTGTCCGACTCTGGGGGGGGGGGGGGTTATGTTAATCTCAATTTCTAAGCTGAATAACCAGCATTGTCCATAGACACCTCCAAGGTCATGTGGCCAGCATGACTGCATGGAGCGCCGTTACCTTCCTGCAGAAGCGGTGCCTATTGATCTACTAACATTTGCATGTTTTTGAACTGCTAGGTTGGCAGAAGCTGGACCTAATAACAGGAGCTCACCCTGCTCCCTGGATTTAAACTGCCAACCTTTTGGTCAACAAGTTCAGCAGCTCAGTGGTTTAACCCGCTGCACCACCAGGGGGCCCTTGTTCATTACATCTTCAAAATATCTTGAACTTCCCAGGTAGCCTAAGATTCATTTGCCAAAGAAGACAACTTGCCTCAGAGTTTATTCATAATCGTATACTGTATCTCTGTAAATTATAATAAAATATCTTAAGAATGAAAAGAACTTATTTTATAAAACATGATCTGTAACTTTGTTATGAGAGACAGTCTCTAATAGGAGGCTGAAAATGAAAAATACCTGTATGCCTGCACCTTAATACTTTCAACTATCCAAATCTTAAATCTGATCTCATTTAAAAAATTTTTTTTATGTTTCCAGTAACAATGAAAAAAAGAAGCCAAAACTATTTTTTTCAAAATACCTTGGCACCCTGGAATTCCAAACCAAGAACAATTCCCAGAATACATAATATACATATTAGGTGTGGGCCAGCTTCAGTCCTCCAGATGTTTTGGACTTCAACACCCTAATTCCTAACAACTGGAGGGCCGAAGTTGGCCCACACCTGATATATAACGTTAACTTTCATTTTGTAAAAAATTACCAGTTACTGCTCAACTTGGAAAAGGATATCCATCAGGACAAATCATTGTTTGAACATCAAAAACTTCTGCAGTGGTATATTCAGGACCACCCCACGGAGGACTCAGAAACACAACGTCGCCTTTTAAACGGGATGCAAGCTTCATGAAATCCCCACATATGAATTCTATTTGGTCAGCCACTCCATACACTTCCGCATTATTGTGTGCGAGACGGATCTTCACAGGATCAATATCAATAGCAATTACTGAAAAACAAAGCATTTTAAGCACAGATAGATAGAGACAGAAAGGGTATGTAGTGAAAAATTAATGCTTATTCTAAAGACAAACGAAACTTACTTAGCTTTAACCATTGCGTTTTCTCTGTATATGAATAGTTATCTTACCAATTTACAATGTAAATTCAAAGCTAAATTTAGGGAGATTTAATTTTAAAAAACAATTTATGTAGTAACAATTCTTAACTATAATCCAAGCTTTTTCAATAGTCACAGCATACCTAGTAAAATATTGACAACAATATTCACAACATATCTAGTAAAATAGGAGCTCTCAGTGGCGCAATGGGTTAAACCCTTGTGCTGGCAGGACTGCTGACCAAAAGGTTGGCGGTTCAAATCTGGGGAGCGGGGTGAGCTCCCGTCTGTCAGCTCCAGCTTCCTATACGAGGACATGAGAGAAGCCTCCCACAGGATGGTAAAACATCCGAGCGTCCCCTAGCCAATGTCCTTGCAGATGGCCAATTCTCTCACACCAGAAGCGACTCACAGCTTCTCAAATTGCTCCTGACACACACACACAAAGAGGGGAAAAAAGGAAAACATTTACCTCTTTTTCCTGCCAGGGCAAACTGAATTGAATTTCCTCCCACACCACAAAATGCATCCACTATGACGTCAGACTTGAAGGACTGCATTACGCGGTCTGCAATGTGCTCTGCAATTTTCTCAGGTGTAACAGAAAACCATCCCTCTGATTTAAAAAAATAACCAGTTTGTCAGATTTTTAAATTACAAAAAGAAATGCATCTGAACAAAAATAAATCAATATGCTGATGTGGAATATTACAAAATGTACAGCCTAGGATGTGAGATAGATAGATGCTCCTTGATATACTTTTCTTAACTCAGATCCCATCATTCTTCACCACTGGCTATGCTGGCTAAAAGCTGATGGGAGCTGAAGTTTAATAATGTGTGAATGGATCCTGGTTTGTTGCTCACGAACAAACCAAGGGTTGTTAGAGTTTGCAATCAGTTTGGGGGAATGTTTCAGAATCCCAGGGTCAGATATCAGAATAAGTTACACCTTCTTGTTTAATTTTACCTCGAGCCTAGAGGGATCACATAGGCAACATGCATTAGGGTACTGCTAAATCACAGTAAACTAATACAATCTTAGCTGCTGTGATGTGTTAACATGGCCAATGACTGTAGTACCACTCAACAATGTATGCCTATAAATACTTGATTGCCAAACTTATTAATCACTTCAAGATAATATAGCTTTTAATTCATAGGTATGGCTATTACTATAATGAACTTACCTCTGTCTAAGTGAATCCCCTCATCAAACCGAGAAAACAGCCTGTATCTCTGTGCCCAGTATTTAGCCAATTCTGGGTCGGCAGCTATTTCAGGGGGCAGGGATGGTATATTTCTGTTTTTCTTTTTTCTGTTTTTCTTCTTTTTTATAGGTTTTACTTCACCTGCATGGAGAAAAACCCAATGCCCCAGAAGACCATCACTTTTGGAATACCTTAATACACTTATTTATTAATTTACTTTATTTATACCCTGCCTTTCTCTACCCCAAGGGGGGGTTCAAGGTGGCTAACATATGGCATTTATCCAGTGCCTTAAACACATACAACATTAGGCTTAAAATCCATTGAATTAAAATAAATATATACTAAAAAAAAATAAATTCCATTCAACATTAAAATCACGCCATCTAAAAATTGTAGTCTGAGACCATTTTGTAGTCATTTCACATATTTCAATTATATTATATTATTGCACTGCTTCTCTGAAGGCCTGGTTCCAGAGTCAAGTTTTTTACTCTCCTGCTGAAAGCTAGGAGGGAGTTCCACAGCCGAGGGGCTAACACTGAGAAGGTAGTGTCTCTCGTACCCACCAGTCATACTTGTGAATAAGGTGCAACCCAGAAGATCTTAATCTCCGAGGTGGTTAACAGGGGGAGATACGTTCGGACAGATAAACTTCATCTAGAAAAATTCCCATTTTTATCTTTTCTTCAACAAATATATCTTCTTTCTTCACTTTCAGTACATCAAGTAATTTTGGATGACTGCTTTGGACTGTCACAATACAATGACTGTCACAATACAACGTCACAACAAATATAAACAACAATTTTTGCTTCCCAAAATGTATGTTTTTATGAGTATGAATAAAACACATAATTTATTTTAATACCTTATCTCTCACCTTCTGTTTCCATCTGGAGATAGTCTGGAATATCCAGGGGAACCAGTTCTCTTCCCAAAGGACATGTTTCTTTTTCCACCTCTTCAACAGGCACCTCAGAATTACAGTCCCTTGCTGCTATTATCAGCTTCCCCTCTTCAATGCTGTTCCTTCTATGTCTAGTGGAATTAGAATCAGGGAGCAGCAGTTCACAGTTTTGGACATCTGGATTATTTTGTGAGCAAAGAGCATTTTCCTGTTCTTCTGAATCACTGCTGGAGGAAGCATGAATTGTTTGGTCTTGAGATGTCTCTTCCAGAGGTTCATTTACTTGCTTCAAGAACCTTTCAACCTAGAGGACCAAGCATTTTGAAACCCACATTTGAACAAAAAATACAAAATACAGAAAACACTTTCTCGCTGCTACTTCAATTTTCAAAGAATACAAAGTTAATTTTGTTATCAAAGAACTTTTAAAATGTAAACTATACTCTTGCAATCAGGACTACGCAAGCACTCATGTGCACCACCCTCACATCAAATGGATCACTTCTTCCCATTTTCAGTATGGCAATAGTTTACTGAATCTCCAAATTGTTGGAAAATTGTTATTATAGTGCTTCTGACAGTTCGACATAATGGTTTGTACTAGAAGCCTGATATACACAGCAATGACAACACAAGGAAAATAATGGTTTTGTATGTGGTTCTTGGATATATATCTTGCATGTTTTTTTCAATGCAAACGGATTAAAAGTATCAGGTCATGTGCATGATACAGTCATATTAAAAAAAACCCCATATCAAATCACCTTTGATCATGGATGTATGCTTATATGTTTATAAGTGAGACCTATAACAAAATGTTGTCCCTGTTCAGGATTCTAGTAACTCTCTTCAAAATGTTTTCACACACATATTTCTCTATTTCCTTACAAAAGTCAACAGTTAGGAATTGGTGAGCTAGTTCTTATTGAGCTCCTACCTTAGAGTAGAATTACTCGAAGTGGTGATCTAAACTTCGGTGCTGGTCCCTGAGACATTAGCATCCAGTCCACAGAGAGTATTTGCTAATGGCACTACCTTTCTGTATTGGGAGGGCTGCATTCTTCTTTGACAAATCAGATTAAATTTGTTAGCGAGCCAAAGGGCAGCAACAGGAGTGGGCAGAATGGTGGTGATACTGGCAAAGGATCTTTCAGAGACAACTGCAGTGGATCCATAGCTAACATTTGTTGCTACTGTGCCGGAAGTCACACATAACCTCTTTTTACCACATAACCCCTATGAGAAGACAATCCAAAAAAGAGGGTACTCAATAGCCTATTGGGATACAGCAGAGGGCAACAGTAGTGCTGTCATGAACCCTGCAACTGGACTCATCTATTTTATTTATCGTATCAGAAGCAGACCAAGGGTACAGTTGTATTGTTTTCAAGAAAACAAACACAAAGTTTAAGAACTTGGCATCATACTAAATGTCCTTTGACCAGAAGCTGGTCACATGGAGTGCCTCTGGTGTTGCTATAAGAAGGTCCTCCATTGTGCATGTGGCAGGGCTCAGACTGCATTGTAATAGGTGTTCTGTGGTTTGCTCTTCTCCACACTCGCATGTCGTAGACTCCACTTTGTGGCCCCATTTCTTAAGGTTGGCTCTGCATCTTGTGCTGCCAGAGCACAGTCTGTTCAGCACCTTCCAAGTCACCCAGTCATAACTAAAAGGCTGTAAAGTCATTAACATGCAAAGCCTTTATTGTGTAGATCAGTGGTTCCCAACCTTTTGTCCTCCAGGTGTTTTGAACTTCAGCTCCCACAATTCCCAACAGCTGGCAAGCTGGCTGGGTTTCTGAGAAAATGAGTTCAAAATAACTGGCGGACCAAAGATTGGGAACCACTGGTGTAGATCATGAAAAACTATGCATCACCTTTAAAGAAATGGAACTGATTTGTGTCCTGATATGTAATTTGTACTACTAATAACAATGTGTAATCAGGACAGAATACAGAAAAACAGATTAGTTCACAAGGGTTCACAAGGCGAGAGCTGCATTTTATCACCCTATCTGAATAACTTGTACACTGAACATACCATGCCGTAAGTAGAGTTAGACCAAGAAGAAGGAAGTGTGAACATTGGAGGAAGGGGCATAAGTAATATAACATTCTAATAACACCATATCATTAGCATAAAATTGCAAAGACTTGGAATGATTACTGAAGAAAGTCATGGAAGAGATGGCCAAGAAATTGGGAAACTTGCTAGGATTTGGAAGAGTAGTTATAATTAAATGAGATTCTGAAGAGTAAAGATATATCACTGAATACTAAAGTTATAATGGTCCAATTTCTATGTATGATTATGAAGGCTGGACAGTGAAAAAAGCTGATAGAAGGAATATCGACTCCTCTGAAACATGCTAGAGAAGAGTGCCACAGACATCATGAACTGCTAAAAAGAAATGGGTTCTAGAGAAAATCAAACCCTAGAGGCCAACATGGCTAAATCGAGACTGTTGTACTTTGGATATGATAATACAGTAATGCTTGATAAGTACAAGGAAGTAGGAAAATGGAAAGATCACATTTCAGTAGATATCAATCAGAAAAGCCAAAGTCCTGAGTCTGCAAGATGTAAACTGCGGCTATTGATGATAGGCAATTGTCATATACTGAAAATGATTTGATGGCAACTAGTAACAACTACAGAGCTTACAGGAAATTTAAAAAATGTAGTTCAAGGGCATGGAAGCACTGCCTTAAAGTACTTTCTTAAATATGTTTGCCAACTTTGGAGTGACCAATACTGCCCTCTTCTGCAGAACCAGTGTAAGATTCAAACAAAGTTCATATCCTGATTATCAGAAGTAGTGACTGGGAAGTAGAGTCAAGAGCAATACTTTCATTTATGTATGTATGTATGTATGTATGTATGTATGTATCCCCTCTGGAACAGGAATGCAATGACTGCAGACACCCTATCTGTAATTGTTTTGTGGGACTATTAATGCTTAATATGCTCAGATTGCATGCTCTATTATGGTATAACACCATGTCTAAATGTTTCCCATTTAGTGAGATATTTTTAATTGTGTAGGTACATTTTGTAATATTTTATGTTTTACCTACTGTGTTTTTTAATTATACTTTTTCTTATTGGGGAGGGAGGTATTTTAATTCATAACTGATTTAAAATGTCAACTGCCATGAGATATGGGTGCCAAAAAAGGGTAGAATATACATTTTATGTAAATACCAAAGCAGTATGAAACCAATGCTATTTAAGAAACATAAGACACATGGATGTCTGTCATCTCAGACAATATATGCTACAAAGTGAATTGTTTGCAGGTACAGGGAAACATGAAAGTTAGCAAATATATGACACCATGAAAGAGCTGTCTAGAAAACAATAAGAAAAAGAAAGCTTGCTACACTGTCTCCTATCGAGTCTATTTTTATGACAGAAAAGCAACCATTACCTTATTCAAAGTTTTACTTTTCTTAAATGCTCCCACTTCAGGTTCTTCTGTAAAAAAGATATGCTTGTTTTTGGTCTTGATAGTTCTGCGCATATCCAATAACTTTGATTTAAATTTCATGTTTCTATTGAAATGAGTCACTCTTCTTTCACTGAAACCAGGAATTTCTCTGTATCTGAAAAAGGCACACACAACATTTCAATATGGGAAACAATTTGTACATATTTAGGGGGAAAGATTTAATTGACATTTGGCAGTGCTGTATTATACATTTGGGAGTCTCCACAAAAACGGGTCCAAGTAATAGTTTTTTCAGGACCCATCTTTAGTTTTAGATTGGAGTAATTAACTAGGTCAGGTTCAAAACCCATTTTTCTGTCTCAGAACTCTCCAGGCTGCTAAAAATGCCAAAATTCAGAAATAACAATTAGAGGCCACTTCAAGTTTTGACAAATGATGCAATGCTCACTCTCCTTGGACAATCTGTTGAGAAGTTAGATTTCGAAGACATTACAGTTTTGGGGAAGCCATATTTTGTTAATAACTTTTTGGTTTAATCTTAAACTTTAAAGGAGATACTAAGTTATGGCAAAATAACTAATTCAGGCAATTAGATCAGTGAGAGTCTGTCTACATTATTCAGGATCATTTAGGTATGGCTATAGTCTGGGGATAAATGATAGAAAGTAAATAAGAAACATCTCCACAATTGCACTCAAGACAAAAATAGCCTGATCCAGGAATGAACCTCCTCTGAGGTGCATGAGCTGAGGTAGTAACAATTTCTATTGGACTCCAGGTATGCTTATTGATAAGAAATGTGTTCTAATTGGGTAGAGATAACCAACAGTAGTGTGTCCCTCTGCTATTTTGACTGGATAGCTAACAATCTGAGTTTTCAGACAGTCAAAAATACGGATGTCCTGCAGGATCCAATGAGGGCAGCAGTTTTATGAGACTGTACTCTTTCTAATGAATAAACTCAAACTTCCAGAAAATGGAAGCCAAAAATGCTGATTTATGCAAGTTAAGGTATCCTAAGAATGGATACCTGATTGTATAACAATAAATACTGTTAAGATTAACAAGGAGAAAAACACTGAAAACCTCTGATGATAATGGACACTTGAAGGTATACAATATATACATTAAAATGGTTAAGGAGAATCGAAGGGACCAAACTCTATATAGGTACAAGTGACAGTCCTGTATGAAATGTCTTTATGGTGTCTTGGCAGGAATTATGGAATTATCAGTAACTTAATGATGATGAGGATGGATAAAAGGCTATGTTAAATGGTTTAGAAAGAATTGGAAGAGACGGTATGGGCTATCCAGTTTTTACCCGCCATGCAAGAAAAGCACAGTCATGCATCCCCGACAGATGGCCATCTAACCTCTGTTTTAAAGCCTCCAAAAGATTGTGTTTCTACATGTGTTTATTATTACCAAGACAAAGAGAAAAATAGAGAGCTAATCTCCCTATGAAATATGCTTATGACAGTGAGCATCAAGAAATCCATGTGATGTGGTTATCTGTAATGCATGAGGCCCTACAGGAAATGCAATTGAATTGAATTAAGCTAAGTGTTCAGTTTGTCTTTCTTTCTAAGAGAAACGTTATGTTTATATATTTAGAAATGACTATAATAACTAGAGTACCAAATAAATATTCTGAATCCCAATACTTAAGGATGCTTAAGTAGAATACTGATGTTAACTTGGCTTGTCTGGTTTAATCGCTGTCATGAGCCGAGTACTCTTATGACTGGCAGTTGATAAAGGTAACTCTAAACAGAATCCAGAATTAGCTGACAAGAGGCAAGGACCCTCAACAGATAGAAAAACATATCTATTTAAAAGGTCGGAGTAGTTGGGGATCACAAAAACATCAGCATGCACCCCAGGTCACAGTGCTAGGTGTGCTTTGATATATTTATGATTTAATAAGCTTTGTACCAATACTTTTTTTCCCAAAAGGGGTGACTTTCATCCCAAATCAATCCTTAATCCCATCTCTACAAACTACTGTAAGTGCGTAATTCTTGTTTACACTGAACTAACATATCTCTGCACATATAATACTTTTTTATAAGCTAAGAAAAATGTAAATATTATCAATTTTTTTCTGGAGAAATTGAACATCAATTTCATTTCCACACATAGGAAAAGGTTAAATGATACATTAAAAACAATGATTTTTTTTTTTTAGTGAAAGCACAGTTTAAGAAAAATAGAGAAACTTCACTCCACCTTTGTCCTATGCCACGCTTGAGCCCCAAGAGACCAAAAACTTCATCAGGATCTGCCTGAGGATCTTCTTCAGCATCTAATTCATGGCTTGAAAGAAACCACAACCCTTGCATTACAATTCATAGCAAGACGAGAGAAAAAACCCCAGTAAATTTCATTGCCTAGTTCATTCTTTGAATTAAATGTAAACAATAATATATAATTATATTAAATTATATATTTAATTTATAATTAAATAATTATACAAAGCTAAATGTATTTAAAACTCTCTTCAAGTTCTTCAGTATCATCTTTAACATCATCTCAGATAATGTTCTTCTGATCTTCAATGAAATGGCCACAGATCCTTTTATCTCAAAAAGCAAGCCTTTGTAACTGTTTTGATTATCCTTTTAATGATACAGAGTATAAATTATGGATAGAACTTAAAACATGCTGTAGTCTTTTAAATGAAAGTAAATTATTTTCTTTACAAACAGTCAATAGGCATGCCATGGGAGAAAAGAGCTTTCAGCATAATACCTATGTTACTGGCTGAACACGAGAATAGCAACATTGTTAGACATATAAATATTAAAATGGTACAGAACTGTACAAAAACCCAGATATTAAAAACATATGGTGAAACTGATAACCTGCCTTCTTTTTAATCTGATAGGTTTCTGTTCAGGTGGCTGTTCATCACCATCACTGTTACTGTGCGATGATCCCCCACCTCCTGTGGAATGTGCCAGTGAAGCTGAAGTGGAAACAGAACATGATAGTGTATTTTGTTTGAGAAATAATCATAGACCTCATCTACACTGACATTATAATGCAGACTGAACTACATTATATGGTCATATAATTCAGTTCAATGCAGTTAACCTGCATTATAACGGTAGTGTTGATAGGGCCACAGAAACATTATTTCTAAGCTTTTTCCTGCTTGAAAACTCTATGGTCTAATCCAATCAATTGGTCACTACATGGTAATTCCACCTCCTGCATCCACCTATCAAGTCCTAGTTGAAGCAATACATTTAATGTATCAGAGCTTCAAGCAAATTTTCTCGTTGCTGTCACTAAGATGTGACCTGTCGTCATCTCTGGCCTGAATGAATCTTTCACAAGGAAACAGTGCATTTCCATAGAGTTGGCTTTTCATCTGAGGGAAAACCTCAAAGGTATATGAACGGGTATAAGGGAAAGTTTGACAGTGATATACCAACCTGCTTGGTTTGAACATCCATATTCAGAAGTTGTATTTTCTTCTTTTGGTCCCTCATCAGATTTCTTAGACTGGTCTGAATCACAAGGACAATGCCTTTCCATGCTTGTTAAACAGAGTCCTTGACTATCTTTGCTATCAACCATGCTTTCCAATTTGCTATCTTCTGCTTCTTCTGAGTTCAAATTTATTTTATTGATCTCTGTAAGAATGTCAATATTACACTGACTGTCATTTAGAATGGGATTACATTCGCAGCTAGCAACAGAAGGACGAGAACAGAAATTCGAGTCCAGAACTTCTCTGCACTCATTATCTATTTCAGTATTCTGTGTTTTTTCTTCCTTTGTTTCCACGTTACTTTTATTTATTTCTAGACTACTATGTGCCACATCAACAGTCCAACCTTGATTTGCCCAGTACTGAAACTGTTCCCAGTAATACCAGTACAGTTCATTATAATGCTGTTGCCATTTTTCCTTCATTTCAGGATTATCCCAGGGTACGCTAATAGATAAAAGTTCAGAATCTACATCCTCCTGCTTTTCCTGCCAACTTTTCCAAAGAAGTCCTTCTCCATACTCGCCCCAATATGTTTCCCATTTTTCATTCAGCTCATCGAGTTTGACTTCTCCATCTTCACATTGTTCATCAACTTCCTTGTTAATTAAGGATGGGTCATCAGCTAGAGAGTGGCTGTCTTCAATCTCATAATCATCTTCCAAAGTATCCTTCATTATTTCAAGAATATCTTTTTGCAGCATGTTCTTCTTCTTCTTTCTCTTCATTACTTTGTTACCCCTTTTATAAGTATTCCCAGATTCCTGAAAAAGATTAATACACGAATTTGTACACAGAACATAATAAGCTCTGATACAACATATCTGCTTCATTCATTTCATACAGCAGTGGTTCTCAACCTGTGGGTCCCCAGATGATGTGGCCTTTAACTCCCAGAAATCCTAACAGCTGGTAAATTGTCTGGGATTTCTGGGAGTTGTAGGCCAAAATATTGGGCCCCCACAGGTTTAGAACCACTGTCATAGAGGTTCACAGTATTGCTAGATTGTAAAACAAACAGGTGATCACAATATCATGTGAGTCTCATCATCTGAAACTTGATACAATCTTAATTGAGCAGCCCAGTATGATTTCCTTCTTAGCTATGTTTCCATTCAAGCATTTAATTTCAGATGTCATTGCACAATAGGGACGGAAATCACAAATTTCAAAAACAGCAGCCCTGGCCACTAGGGAATAAAGCTGAGAGCTATGGCCCAACAACATTTGGAGGGTTATATGATTCCCACTGGAAGTAACACTGAATCAGGGCTCTTTAAGAAATAGTATCAATTTATTTAAAGGAAAGAATACAAGACTCCTTTAAGAATAACAAAATGTGACAAAGAATGGTTTCTGTTGTTTATTGAGTAGAACAATATACCAATCCTATTTTAATGTGTGTATTATATGTTTTTAACTCTTATATTTCATGTTCTAAATGTCATTTTTTTCTTATTTTATAGTGATTTGTCCTATTCTTTTCATGTTCAGTTACATGGTATTGATTCGTGATTTGGTTTATGTTTCTAAGACATTGAAATTTGCCATTATTTCTACTGTATGTAAACCGCTTTGAGTTCCCCCAGGGGTAAGAAATAATACTGTAAATAATAAATAAATAAAAATGTTCTAAATTCTCTAGAATAGATTTTCAAAGCTTCTTTTATGATATTTAGAAAGGTTTCAGGCCTTTTGAAGTGAGAGATTAATTTAGCCAGTAAAAACCATGACAAACTAAATCTTGTGAGGCTTTTGAAATGGTGTTTATTTATTAATTCTTAACTGTCATCAAATCAACCCACCATTTCACCCTCATTCAGAATATCTTAAAGGATATTGCATTTGAAAAAAAATCTCAGTAGTCTTTCATTTTTTAACTCCACATTAACTCAAGGGGGAAATATCTATATTTTCTCTGTCATGTCAGAAGCTGACATACAGAATTTATGAACTCACATAAAAGTTGTAAAAGCCATTCCACAAATTTCAGGGGGGCGGGACATTTTTCTCTCTGGGTTGCCTGTGCAAAAATTCAGTGTGAGTTCATAAGATCATCAAAATTAAGCATAATAAGAATACAGAGGATCTCTCAGGCCTTGTTTTGTTAACTGCTCAGGTTATTTTTAACTTCAAAAATGTAAAAATACCACAGACATATAGCAGCATAAAAATAAGCTGAGTTTTTACCACAATAGTCTTATGGACTGCTGTTCCACCAAATTGTAAAGGCAAACCCATACTCTTCATAAGTTCAGTTTCTGAGTCTAATTCAATGTCTTCAACCTCAGGGACATGGCTGTTTGATGGTAAATCAGCAATATTAATATCGTGTTTTTGCTCTTTTTCCTCATCTTCAGATACTTGATCTTCCCCTGTTAATAAAAAATGTTGGAGTTACATTTTAATATAAATTTTAATCTATGGGAAGTTTTTGGAGCAGACAAACAATACCAGGATTTTTTTTCCTCAGAAAGCAATCTGTAGTATTCGTTTTAAAAAAGTTTGAAAAAAATCTCATTTAAGCATGCCAATATACAATAAATGCATACTGAATACAAGAGCATTTTCCAGATTAACTTAATTATTTTTAAACTAAATATTTCAAAAAATCTTGGGCATCAATTGGAAATAATTGCAAGGATAGTATCAAATACTGAGCTTCTACTTTCTTTGCTCTAGAGGGGAACTGCAAGACATGCTTTTTATAAAAGCAAGGGACTGAGAATGAAATTCCTAACACTAACAAAAACACCATATTGGATTTAAATCTGTCACATAGAGGATTTAAAAATATACATGTAAAAACATATATGAAAAGAGTCCCCTCGGAAAGGGAGGCAGTCTATAAATAAAGTTTTATTTATTATTATTTATTATAAGTATAGTGGTGCTACAGTAACAGATCATATGGCTGCAAAAATATGTATTTTAAATCCCAGGAACAACTTACCTGTGCTGTCTTCCTCCCCTTTGACATAAAATCCTTTTAAACCTAACTTGTATAGTTTTCGATCCCTGGAAGAACATGGAAATATACTTGTATAAATGCTATATAGTAATGAAATGCTAGTCTTCTCCACACTAGTGTTATATATTTTTTTAGACTGTCATCTTAGCATTCTCTTAGTTCTTCACTACACCACTCACATGAATATTCTTTGGAACAAATACTCTATAATGTGTCTTTTCTAAAGAAAAAAAAAGAAAGGACTGCTAAATTTAGAAAATGAGTAAATGCTGTCACTAAACAGGAAAATAATGTCCTACTAGTAACTTCAATTCCAAAACAAACACTAAGAAGAGATTGACATCATTTAGAATTTTAAAAATTCCAATACCATAAAGATACAGAGAAAGTGCCAGATAAATCTGTGAGTTAGAATATCTGAAGGCTAAGCCACCATCACTTAAATAAACATGAAGCAAAACCTTCTCACAAGTACTATAACTACCCAAACTTTGGAGAACACATAAAACCTTTGGTAAATGTCTCACAGTCCGTCAGACAAGTGCAGATAGAGATGCCTTGCTGATAAGTTGTGACATCCTTTATAACAGAGTTTTTTTAAAAAAATTATCTGATGCCAAGCATTGTAACAGATGGATATATGTGGCCACTTGCTACATCTGTTTCTTTCTTTCTCAGAAACTCACTACAGTTCAGCAACCAGTATAGGTCATGGACTGGCAACACCACCATTTCCCTCCAAATTCCTCACCAGTCAATCCCTCTGCAATGCCAGAAATACAGCTTAATGGTGGAACATTAGAAAATGTTGACCATATCCGCTACCTTGGCAGGCACCTCTCCACAAAAAATCAACACTAACACTGAAATACAATATCGCCTGAGCTCTGCGAGTGCAGCATTTTCCCAAATGAAGCACAGTGTTTAAGGACCGGGACATCCATAGAGATACCAGGTGCTTGTTTATAAAGCTATTGTCCTCCTAATGCCTGCTAAACGTGGACTATCTACAGACATCACACTCAACTCCTGGAACGATCCCATCAGCACTGCCTCTGTAAAACCCTGCAAATCTCTTGGGAAGACAGGCAGACAAATGCCAGCGTGTTGGAAGAAGCAAATAACATCAGCACTGAAGTGATGCCCCTATGCTATCAAGGCTGGACTGGCCACATTGTTTGAATGCCCGATCAGCATCTCCCAAAGCAGTTACTATATGCGGAACTCAAGAACGGGAAATGTAATGTTGGTGGAAAGAAAAAAGATTTAAAGGTGGGTTTAAAGCCAACCTTAAAAACTGTGGCATAGACACTGAGAACTGGGAAGCCCTGGCCCTTTAGTGCTCTAACTGGATGTCAGCTGTGACCAGCAGTGCTGCAGAATTCAAAGAGGCACAGATGGAGGGTCAAAGGGTGAAATGTGCCAAGAGGAAGGCGCGTCAAGTCAACCCTGATTGAGACCACCTTCCCCCTCACTGCAGGAGAACATGCAGATCAAGAAAATGGCTCCACAGCCATCTACGGACCCACCGCCAAGACACTGCACTAGGAGGACCATTGAGGGATCGCCTAAGAGACGAGAGAGCCTCAAAAGAGAAGGTAAACTCCAGGTTTTTATTCCAAAGCAAGCTAGCAAGGCACAGATCCTAAAATACAATTTCCTATTTTATCTTATAATAATAATATAATAAAAGACTTTATTTATACCCCGCTACCATCTCCCAAGGGACTCGGTGTGGCTTACATGAGGCCGAGCCCACAATACATCAATGCAAGCAATAACAGTTACAATACGAAGCAAAATACTACTACGAAGCAATTAAAATAAATCTCATACACAATCTTGGATTCAGATGTAGCTGAACTGAACTTCCATTGGAACCAGTGGAATTTAAGCCAGATCTAAACAAACAAGCTCACCCGCTGGATTCTATGTGAGTAAATATTATGAAATGCATAGGCTTACAATAAATCAACAAGTGACCTGAAGGGAGGAGCCCCCGGTGGCGCAGTGGGTTAAACCCCTGTGCCGGCAGGACTGAAGACCAACAGGTCGCAGGTTCGAATCCGGGGAGAGCGCGGATGAGCTCCCTCCATCAGCTCCAGCTCCTCATGCGGGGACATGAGAGAAGCCTCCCACATGGATGGTAAAAACATCAAAACATCCAGGTGTCCCCTGGGCAACGTCCTTACAAACGGCCAATTCTCTCACACCAGAAGCAACTTGCAGTTTCTCAAGTCACTCCTGACACAACAACAACAAAAAAAAAAAAACCTGAAGGGAGACAACAGTAAACATGACATATATACATGCAGCAGATCCTCCAATAGCTACCAATAGGATTTTCTTATTTTATACCAAAATTATTTTATTAGTCGCCAGCCAGGATATTTTCACACTAGGAATTCGAATTCCACTTCAGCTACCACGGTCCTTTACTGCAGAGTCAACTTTCCACACTGCATGGTGATACTGCCGTTATTTCACTTTAATTACCATGGCAACCTCCTGTGACATTCTGAGGCTTGTAGTTCAGAAGATACCCTTCCTAAACTGCAAATCCCAGGATTCCACAGAATGTCACCATGGAAAGCGGAATGAAAGCGCTATGAAGAGTGCATTATACAGGCCGCGATTAGAGAGTCATGCCGGCGAAGGAAAGGCCAAGGTTTTCCCGACTCACTCGACGAAGGCCCGGCTGCAGAAGCAGAGGATGCTGTGGCCGCTCTTCCCGGGGCCTTTGCCTTCTTCCTCCCCTTCCTCCTCCTCCTCGTCCCTCAGAAAAAGCACCATCTGGGCCACCAGCAGGCTTTGCGGCGCCTCGCGGAGCATCGCAGCCTCTCAGGGAGCGCCTTCCTTCTTTCCTTCCGTCGAGCGCGTGAGGGACTGAGAGTGGAGGCGGAACTCCAGGAGAGGGGCACTTCCGGCGGAAGTGGGTCCGTGCGCGTGCCACCTTGAAAGGCTGGCCTCGGGAAGCTCTGAGAAGAAGTCCTCCAAGAAGGCCTTGGAGGGAAGTGTTTTCCTCCGCTTTACATGGAGTAGTTAGTCCTGTGCCATTCCCTACGAAGCGGGTTTCATGGCTGGGATGGTTAATAAGCTATTATTATTTATTATAGGTTTTTCAGGTTATATGGCCATGTTCTAGAAGCATTCTCTCCTGAAGTTTCACCTGCATCTATGGCAAACATCCTCAGAGGTTGTGAGGTCTGTTGGAAACTAGGAAAACTTGGGTTGTTGTAGGTTTTTTCGGGCTATATGGTCATGGTCAAGAGCAGGGGTCTTCAAACTTTTTTAACAGAGGGCCAGGCCACAGTCCCTCAAACTGTTGGAGGGCCGGATTATAATTTGAAAAAAGGATGAGTGAATTCCTATGCACACTGCACATATTATTTGTAGTGCAAAAAACACTTAAAAACAATACAATAATTAAAATGAAGAATAATTTTAACAAATACAAACTTATTAGTATTTCAGTGGGAAGTGTGGCTTTGCTTTTGGTTGATGAGATAAGATAGGTGTTGTTGTGTGCTTTCAAGTCGTTTCAGACTTAGGTTGACCCTGAGCAAGGGCCGGGTAAATGACCTTGGAGGGCCGCATCTGGCCCTCGGGCCTTAGTTTGAGGACCCCTGGTCTAGAGGCATTCTCTCCTGACGTTTCGCCTGCATCTATGGCAAGCATCCTCAGAGGTAGTGAGGTCTGTTGGAACTAGGACAATTGGTTTATATATCTGTGGAATGACCATGGTGAGGCAAAGGATTCTTGTCTGCTGGAGCTAGGTGTGAATGTTTCAATTGACCACCTTGATTAGCATTTGATTGCCTAGCAGTGCCTGGAGCAATCTTTTGTTGAGAGGTGATTAGATGTCCCTGATTATTTCCTCCCTGTTATTTTTCTGTTGTAATTTTAGAGTTTTTTTTTTAATATTGGTAGCCAGATCTCTAATGGTATTCCGCAAAAAAGTGAAGACCTGGCTGTTCAAGCAGGCGTTCGAATAACTAGTGCAATGATTGGTAATGAACATAGGAATGGAACAATGGATGACGAATCTGGATTATGTTTTTGATAATGAGACGATTGTGATCGGTTATTGTGTTTATTGTTTGGGTAATGTGTTAAATTGTTAATGGTTGTTATATTCTGCATTGAATTATTGCTGTTTTTACTGGTTGTGAACTGCTGTGAGTCGCCTTCGGGCTGAGAACGGCGGTATATAAGTAAAGTAAAGTAAATAAATAAATAAATGTTCATTTTCATGGTTTCCTCCTTTCTGTTGAAATTGTCCACATGCTTGTGTATTTCAATGGCTTCTCAGGAAAACTTGGTTTATATATCTGTGGAAAGGCCAGGGTGGGAGAAAGAACTCTTGTCTGTTGGAGGTAGGTGTGAATGTTTCAGTTGGCCACCTTGATTAGCATTTGATGGCCTGGCAAGTTTTTAGGTGTGGCTTGTTAATAAATAAATAAATAAATAAATAAAACTTTATTTATACCCCACCACCATCTCCCCACGGGACTCGGAGTGGCTTACATGAGGCCAAGCCCAACAACACATCAATAAAAACAAAAAGCAATAAACAAAAACAATAAATACAATACAATTAATATAAATCACATATAAACAATAACCAATAAACAGTAACACACAAGGATTTTAAAACCTATGGCTGGGCCAAATGTAATAGTTTAAAAATTTAAAAAATAATGGGCATGAACAAGGTAGGATATATCTGGTACGGGGTTTTAAAAGAGATGAGGGAACGCAGTCAATCCTAAACCAGTAGTAAAGTGCATTCTGAGGACATATTGCTGGGAATTTTCCTTATTCTGGGAAGGCACACTGGAACAATCACGTTTTCACACTCCTCCCAAAGACTGCCAGAGTTGGGGCATGCCTGATGTCCTTGGGGGAATCCTTTGTTGAGAGCTTATTAGCTGTTCCTAATTGTTTCCCCTCTGGAGTTCCCTTGTGTTTGAGTGTTATTTTACTGTTATAATTTTAAAGTAGCCAGATTTTGTTCATTTTCATGGTTTCCTCCTTTCTGTTGAAATTGTCCACAATGCTTGTGGATTTCAAGGGCTTCTCTGTTTTATTATTATTATTATTATTATTATTGAAACAGAACAAGATGAGTCCACAGCAGACACTCTGCTGGCTGTTGAATTGGATCACACGTCGACACTTCCCAAGTGTCTAGGACTGTGTGATGTATCGGTGAATAATTGCAGATCCCAGTAAGGTGGCTTCTGCAGCTGGCAGATGGTATTTGTCAGCTCCGATTGTGTTTAAGTGCAGGCCAAGGTCTTTAGGTGCTGCACCCATCATTCAGAGAGGATGTTCAGATTTTTTTAAAAAAACTGGTTTAGTCATGAATTTTAACTGGTTAACCAAATCCCCATGCTAAGTCTATGAGATGCAAAAAATTAAGAGTCCCTCCAGAACTGCAAGCACTATCTGAAGCAAATATTGACAATTTATTCACACTGTCATTACTTGCAGCAATAGCCGATGTAGTGAAGCAACCAAGTTGGGTGTGTGTGTGTTGAATGCTCTCATTAAGGAGGCCAGACTTGGTGGAGGTGGTTGACAGGGGCGGAGCTGCAGGCTATTGAAGGCTGCTCTGCCCTCTGCTGTGCTCTTTGCTTCAGCGTGAGCTAGAAGGCAGGTTTCAACCCCCCCCCCCAAACATTTCAAACCCTCCACCCCGAAAATTTCAACCCCTCCCGAAATTTTTTTTCTGGCTACGGCCCTGACTGCACCCAGTGTGCCGATCACCACTGGGACCACCTTTACTGGTTTGTACCAAAGTCTTTGCAGTTTGATTTTTCAATCCTCATATCATGTCAACTTTTCCAGTTGTTTCTCTGCAATCCTGCTGTCACCTGGGATTGCAACATCGACGATCCATACTTTGTTATTATTATTATTAGGTTTTACTCTGCTCCCCCTCTGACAGACATCTGCCAGTGGATAAATGCAGTTATTCAGTGGCTGTAACATCAACACAAGGAAGGCTGCATCTGAACCAGGCATGGGCCAACTTGGGCCCTCCAGCTGTTTTGGACATCAACTCCCACCATTCCTAACAGCCTCAGGCCTGAAGCTGTTAGTGAAGGAGCACCAATGTAGGGGTGCTCCTAATGCACAAGTTTAGGAGTTCCCTCAGCTGCCTAATGTAGCCATGTAAGGAGGAAGCCATAAGTTGGATTCTTACTACAAAGGCTTTATTGCGTGGCCATAGCAATATTGACAAACATGCATACAGGAATGCAATCAAAGGGTTCATCGCAACCCCCAATGGTGCTGCAGAGTTTTTATCATTTTTGGCAGTAAATTGAATACACATTCTCATTGGGTTTCAAAGACAAATAATTTCATTGGTCTAAGCTAGCTGTACAGTTGCTCATTGGTTATGACTTCGATTGACATAATAGCATACGTGGGATCCTAACAACTATAGTCTATTGTTAATCAATCTTATCAGTTATTCTGTTTCAAACATAACTCCGAAGCGACTGGGAAAGTTGGGAGTTCTAACTAGCTACCAGCTAGCCGGTTTTGTCTGGATATACTGTTTTCCTTGAAAAGTAACTTCTTCTCTGCAAACATGTTTGTCCAATGTTTTCTGGTACTAAAATAAAGATCTGTCATCACATTTTAAATGTTTTTTTCTTTATTTCAAGACTTACTACATTATACAAAACACCCAGGTAACAGAAGTAGATGAAAGAAGGGAGAACTTTGTGGGTTCACTAGACTTGGGGATGAAGTTAGGGTTCCGTGGGAAAGAGAAAAAAAAATCTTCTGAAGGGTTCCATGGCCAAAAATGTTTGTGAACTGCTGGTATGTGGAGTGGAAAGGTCAAACAATAAGGCTATTGTGAGGGTGGTCTTTCTTTTGCTACTGTTCCATCTCTTACTCTCATTTCAATATGCCACAGTGTATAAGATATTTTGGGTTTTTGTTTATATGTTGTATAGTGCCTAGTCTGCTACTTGCCTGAAAGCCACATATTGCAAGTCCTACTATGAGCAATTTGAGAAAAAAACAACATTGGTTTTGTTTTGGTTGTTCATGAGATTTGCACATTGCATATCATAACACAAGCAAAAGAACAATTTAGATACAAATAGAACACATCAAAAGAAGGGATATGAAGCACAGTGTACTTTGCTTTATTTAATTTTTGTGCCACAATGAAAAAAGTATTTTGCACATTCACTGTGTTCAAGTGTCTTCTGTATACCAAATGTTAATGATGATAATTAAATCAGTTATGAGGCTGCAAAATAGCAAAGTGTGTGGGTGAGAGAACTCAAAAGGTGTGTGTGAATGTTTCTTCCAAGGTAATAAAAAAGATGGGGGAAGACAGGGTGCATATACACTGTAGAATTAATGCAGTTTGACACTTTTGACTATAATGACTCAATGCTATGGAATGGCGAGAGTTGTAGTTTTACAGGGTCTTTAACCTTCTCTGCCATAGAGTAGTTATGCTCCACCAGACTACAACTCTAAGGTTTCCATAGCATTGAGCTGTGACAATGAAAGTAGTGTCAAACTGCATTAATTCTACAGTGTAGATGCAACCCTAAGCTGAGTTGAATCATCATAGATTTACTCCACAGTAAAACAGAACTGGATTTTTAACTAGCCAATATATATATATGAATTTGTGCAATTTAATAGCACCTCTGAAGAAAATCTTAAATTCTGGATAGGTACATAGAGGGGACTGATATTTCAGGTGATGTGGTCTTAAATGCTGAATGAAACCTGGCAGTAGTCCAAGAAAGCCTTACACAAAGATGGGCTAACTCCCCCCCTTCCAATGATTAAAACAGGAACCCTACTTGCAGTTTTAAACCTGTTTTTAAAGACAGTGCAATGTAAAACAAAGTGCAAGAGTATAGTAAGTATGGAATTAGCAGAACATAGATCATTTGGGACAGGCCATCTCTACCCAAGTTAAATCAAGTGAAGCTATTAAAAGGCTGCACAGTTGCTTCAATTTTTAATGACACCAGCTGGATTAATTGAGCTTCCCAAGCTTGTAAACTTGACCCTTTAGGGCAGGATGAGGAAACATCTGGCTCTTCAGATGTTATCAGCATAAACCAAAGCAAGGAATGATGAGAGCTGCAACTCAACAACATTTGGAGACCTCAAGTTGCCAATCTGGAATGGGATAAGTTCATTCATCTTGTTTCTCTTGTGGCTGGGTCTGTCTTCAGAAACAACCCTTGATCTCAAAGTGCTAATGTGAATACTAAGTTGCTGGAGAATCCCAATTCACTGAATTCTGGTTAAATAAGAATGTACTGCAGTTTAATTATGTGGTGAGGAGAAGCAGGGAACAAATAACACAACTTGCTCTTCCTCGTTGTCCTCCTCCTCACTCCTCTTCCTCCTCTCTTTTTCTTCTTTGTCCTTCTCTTCCTTCTCCATCTCCTCTTTTCTTGTTCTTCCTCTTCCCTTCCTCTTGTTCTTCCTCCTCTCTTCCTCCTTTTCCTCCCCCTCTTCTACTTTTTTCTTGCTCCTCCTCCTCCCATTGTCCTTGCTCTTCCCTTGCTCTTGTTCTTCCTGCTTATCTCTTTCTCCTTTTTTCCTCCCCCTCTTCTTCTTTTCCTCCTCGCTCCTCCTTTTCTTTTTCTTCCATCTCTCCCGCTCTTCCTTCTCTCCTCTCCCTGTCCTCCTCCTCCTCCTTTTCTTCCTCACTCCTCATTCTTCCTCCTCCTCTCCACATCCTCCTCCCTTCTTCTTCTTTTCCTTTCCCTCCCCGCTCCTCTATTTCTTCTTCCTCCTCATCTCCTCTTTCTCCTCTCCCCATTTTCCCCCTCTCCTTCTCTACCCCTCCTCCTCCTCCTCCTCCTCCTTGTCTTTCTTTTCTTCTTTTTGTTTTTCCTCTTTCCTTTTTCTTGTTTTTCATCCTCCTCTCTTCATCCTTCCTCCCCCCCCTTTCTACTTCTTTTCCTACTTTTTTGGTTTTTCTTTTTCCTCCTCCTAAGGATGAGAACATGGATTACTGCGAGTTTTTCGGGCTGTATGGCCATGCCTGTTTGAGGCAAGTATGAATGTTGTAATTGCCCACCTTGATTAGCATTGAATAGCCTTGCAGCTTGAAAGCCTGGTTTCTTCCTGATGGGGGGAATCCTTTGTTGGGAGGTGTTAGCTGGCCTTGACTGTTTCCTGTCTGGAATGCCCCCGTTTTCTGAGTGTTGCTCTTTATCTACTTTTATAAAAATACTGGCAGCCAGATTTTCTTCATTTTCATGGTTTTCTCATTTCTGTCTAAATGGTCCACAGGCTTGTGTGGATTTCCAATGGCTTGTGTAGTCAGCCCGCCATGGTGGTTGTTAAAGAGTGTTGCAGCATTTCTGTGTTCTCAAAGAATAGGCTGTGTGCAGGGCTGTAGCCAGAAAAAAAAAACGGGAGGGGTTGAAATTTGGAGGGGGGGGGTTGAAAATTTCACATGGGGCGGGGGGTTGGGTTGAAACCTGCCTCCTAGCTCACGCTGAAGCAAAGAGCATAGCAGGGGGCAGAGCAGCCTTCATAGCCTGCAGCTCCGCACCTGTCAACCACCTCCACCAAGTCTGGCCTCCTTAATGAGAGCATTCAACATCCCCCCCTCCCCACAACTTGGTTGCTTCACTACATCGGCTATTGCTGCAAGTAATGACAGTGTGAATAAATTGTCAATATTTGCTTGAGAGAGTGCTTGCAGTTCTGGAGGGACTCTTAATTTTTTGCATCTCATAGACTTAGCATGGGGATTTGGTTAACCAGTTAAAATTCATGAGTAAACCAGGTTTTTAAAAAAATCTGAAACATTTCGGGGTGGGGGGTTGAACCGCTAACCCCCCCCCCGCCCCCCCGCCCCCCCTCGCTACAGGCCTGGCTGTGTGTGTCCAGGTTGGTTGAGGAGAAGATGCTTCCCGGCAATTGGTGCGGGTTGGAAAGAGCTCCCTTCCGACATCTGTCGGGGGTCTGGATGAGTTCAGCCAGAGTCACGTGACCCGGGCCATGGCCTCCTCCTCCTCCTCCTCCTCCTCCTCCTGCTGTACCTTGACAGCGCGCGGCGTTTCCCTGCATTGCGGCTCGCCGGCTCCGCGTCTCCTTCCCTCCTTCCCGCCGCGAAGCCTTGGCAGGAGCCCGGCCCGAGGAGCCTTGCCTTCTCCGGGGCCACTTCTTCCTGCGGGGGCGGCAGGAGGCGGGGAGGAGACTCCGCGGCGCCCCAGGATGGTATGGAAATAGATCTGGGATGGAGCGGCAGGACCCGAAAGGCGAGCAAGGTGAAAAGAAAGAAAGAAAGCAAGGAAGCAAGGAAGCAAGCCGGCGAGGGAGCGATTGGGGCTCAGCCGGCCTTACATAAAGGGAGGCGGGGAGAGAGAGGGAGGGAGAGAGGGAGTGAGTCGTAGCCTTGTGCATCAGGAGGGAAAGGCGACATGACCCCGGGAGAAAGAGGCGGCGAGGAAGCTCGCAGACGCAGAGGCCAGTGTGCGCCCAGCAAGGCAAGGCGCCGCTCCCTTTGGCCCAATGGGACGCCTCTGTGAGTACAGCACAGGCCGGGCTGGGCATGGAGGGAGCTGTCCAAAGAGGGGGCTCTTGGATGGAAAGGGCTCCCAGACCAGGTTGGGAGGAGGGAGCTGTCCAAAGAGGGGGCTCTTGGATGGAAAGGGCTCATCTAGTCTACAATGTGGAAGGGATGCCCCTTTGGCACCACTTTAGCTGCCCTGGCTCAAGGTCATGGCAAGGTTTGAGTCTCCCTTAAGAGGGGAATAACACACCATCGTCATCATCATCCATGGGAGTTGTAGTTTGAGGAAGTCTTTAGCCTTATCTGCCATAGAGTACTCAGTCCTCACCAAACTACACATCCCAGGATTCCATTGCAACAAGGCTCATTAAATACTTTTGACCAGGCATGGGCCAACTTTGTCCCTCCAGGTGTTTTGGACTTCTGCTCCCACCATTCCTAACAGCCTCAGGCCTTTTCCTTTCCCCCTCAGCAAGTATTTTGGACTTCCTAACAGCCCCAGGCCCCTTCCTTTTCCCCATCAGCTGCTTAAGTGGGAGCCCCTGGTGGTGCAGTGGGTTAAACCCCTGTGCTGGCAGGACTGAAGACCGACAGGTCACAGGTTCAAATCCGGGGAGAGCATGGATAACCCCCCTCTATCAGCTCCAGCTCCCCATGCAGGGACATGAGAGAAGCCCACAAGGATGATAAAACATCAAAACATGCGGGCATCCCCTGGGCAACGTCCTTGCAGATGACCAATTCTCTCACACCTGAAGCGACTTGCAGTTTCTCAAGTCGCTTCTGACATGACAAAAAAGCCATTTAAGTGGTTGAGGGGGAAAGGGAAGAGCCCAAGGCTGTTAGGAATGGTGGGAGTTGAAGTCCAAAGCACCTGGAAGGACAAAGTATGTCCATGCCTTTTGTAGATTGAACTGCATTCAATCTAGTCTTGATCTTGGGGAACTATTCTGCCTTGGTCAGACCACACCTGGAGTACAGTGTCCAATCCTGGGCTACGCAGTTGAAGAGAGATGTTGACAAGCTGGAATGTGTCCAGAGGAGGGTAACCAAAACGATCAAGGCTCTGGAGAACAAGCCCTATGAGGAGCAGCTTAAAGAGCTGGGCATGTTTAGCATTCAGAAGAGAAGGCTGCGAGGAGACATGTATAAATATGTGAGGGGAAGTCATAGGGAAGAGGGAGCAAGCTTGTTTTCTGCTGCTCTGGAGACTAGGACATGGAATAATGACTTCAAACTACAGGAAATAAGATTCCACCTGAACATTAGGAAGAACTTCCTAACTGTGAGATCTGTTCAGCTGTGGAACTCTCTGCCCTGGAGTGTGGTGGAGGTTCCTTCTTTGGAGGCTTCTAAACAGAGGCTGGATGACCATCTGTTGGGAGTGCTTTGAATGTGATTTTCCTGCTTCTTGGCAGTGGTTTGGACTGGGTGGCTCATGAGGTCTCTTCCAATTCTATGATTCTATGATTTTACATCCCAGGATTCCATTGCAGCAAGGCACATTGAGCCCCCGGTGGCGCAGTGGGTTAAACCCCTGTGCCGGCAGGACTGAAGACCGACAGGTTGCAGGTTCGAATCCGTGCAGAGGCGGATAAGCTCCCTCTATCAGCTCCAGCTCCTCATGCGGGGACATGAGAGAAGCCTCCCACAAGGATGATAAAAACATCAAATCATCCGGGCGTCCCCTGGGCAACGTCCTTGCAGACAGCTAATTCTCTCATACCAGAAGCAACTTTCAGTTTCTCAAGTCGCTCCTGACATGATAAAAATGCACACTGCACACTGTAGACCAGGTATGGACAAACTTCATCACTCTAGGTATTTTGGACTGTAACTCCCACAATTCCTAACAGCTGGTAGGGTCCTCCTCTAGGGGCAAACCAAGAATGGGCAACTTGGAAGTTCCTGAACAGACTTAGAAGTGGAGTGGGCAGATCAAAAGACAACCTGGCAAAATAGCACTCCTTAGAAGAATCCTCCACCTTGTGCGACTGTGGAGCAGGACAAACAACACAGCGTTGGTATGCTTGCCCACAATGCCCTGCCTCATGCACAGAGGAAGAACTGTTTAAAGCTACAGACTTAGTGGTCGCTGTTGCCCCTTTTGGGTTTAAAACTATATAGCAGCTTGTGATCCCTTTTATGTAATGCTTTTGACACAAAATAAATAAATACAGTGTTGATGCAACCAGGGACTTGGGAGTTTTGGGCAAAATTGATATGTTTTTCAAAATCAGACATGGCTTTTAGTTCAGTTGTGTATTAACTTAATTTATGTCTAATGTTAATTATGTTTGGATACTATACTTTTATTTGTATTTAATCTTGGGAGCCAGCCATCTTGAAGTCATTCACTCCTGGATAGTGTGATGCCTTATATTATAATTATACTGTATTCAACAACTTGCATATTTTTAACATTTAGGGGCAGCATTAAGAAACTGCTTCTCTCACTGAGACCACTTTGCCGGCTCTTTCGCTGCAAGCAGAAGATGAACAGCATAAATGTATTTTATTCTTCTTGCCAGGAAAATCTGACCTGGCTAATGGACCTACTGAGAAAATGGATGCATCCAAACCATTTCCTGGACTATTTCTCAGACTATATAATCTTGTTCCTTGGGGTATTAACCCCATTTGTACTTTTGTTTTCACCAGTTTTAGTAGTTCTTGGCTGTATTTACCTTTCAAATGTTATACTGCATATTTACAAGAGAAAGATGAATTTAAATGGGGATTATCTCAGCAAAATGTGGGACAATGGAAGAAAGTCGGTGGCTTCTGTCTGGGACATTTATGGCAAAGTGTGGCATGGTAAGTGTAATTTTTCTTCCCTTTGAAATTGCACATTGACAAAGCACACAGATATCTATATGATGCATTAGATTTGTCTTGCCTGCGTATTAAACCTTTGTTTTAAGTCCCATGAAGGTAAGCATCAGTCATAAAGCCTGGTATTTTTATCACGCAGTTAAACTATGCATAGTGCTTATCTCAGCAATCTGAGTGATAAATCATTATTATTCTCCTTTTACTAAAGGGATGCTGAAACACAATGCCTCTTAGGCCACAGTTCCCCACTGAATCTAGCTTCCCTTTTAGAAATTAATAGCTTTCTTAGGTCGCAATTCAGTGGCAGCAACCTTCATTGAATCAGATGTAAGGAATAATACTGTCAGTGGAGTTGTGGCTGCTGGGGTTTGAACTGGGAAAGTACTTCCTAGTTGGTTGATGGTGTCTTTGCTCATAAATATGTATAACTTCAATCATAAATATACAATATAATTTCGTTTCAGGTTCTACCCAGGGAAATAAAATTGCTAAGCTATCCACAATCCTGAGTTCCTTGTTTCATCAAGTTGTCATTACAAAAAAAAAAAAAAGGTGGATTGGGAAAGGCACATTACACAATAATGTTGTACCAGTTCACATAAATGAAAATCTTTAATTACCACCCAGCTCACAATACATTTTTCTTGCTAGCCAATATTAATTTGGAATACCGTATATACTCGAGTATAAGCTGACCTGAATATAAGTCGAGGCACCCAATTTTACCACAAAAACTGGGAAAACTTGTTGACTTGAGTATAAACCGAGGGTGGGAAATGCAGCATCTACTGGTAAAATGTAAAATGTTTTTTTTTAAATGGCCACTCTTTCTGGGCTTGGAGAAGGGGAAGGAGAGCTGGGGTGCTGTGGGGAGAGGTGAGGGTCCTGGCAGGAAAGCGTGGGGAAAGGGCTCTTCTTCCTTTCTGCCAGGACCCTCGCCCGAGTATAAGCCGAAGGGAGCTTTTTCATCCTGCAAAAACTCAGCTTATACTTGAGCATATACAGTATTGCTGTGTTCATGATTGATGCATAATGTTGTCTAGTGCACCTTGGGCTTTGGAGTGATTATAATGCATTGACAGGTACCAATGTTACTTAGAGGTCCTCATACCATGTTTAGGTTGCTCTGCGGCTTGCCTGCAGAGATACAGGCAGGCCGCAGAGTAAACTAAACATCAAGTAACAAAGTTGACATCTTCTTGGGCATTCGTTTTTAACAGAAAAATAACATTATTGAAAACTTATTGAAAACTTCTCAAGTTCATATGTGAAATAATACAATCAGGTCAGTTAAAGAAAAGCTAAGTAAAGAAAAATGCTTTGCATCTTTTAGAGACCACTTAAAAGTTCTGGAATTGCGATAATTTATTCTTTCCCCAGCCTCTGTTTTTGTTGTGATTTGTATTTTGGTGAGCAAGCATGTAGTCTTTGCTTTAAAAAAACATGTTGGAGATAGCTGGTCCACAAACTTATCTTTTCTCCTCCTTTCTCTTTGTTTTGCTATCCTCACTTGCTTGGTAATAAATTCGAGAAGAATTTATGTTGCATCTTGTAGGATTACCTAGAGTTAGACTGGCTAGAGTAGAATCGTATTCTTTCCCAGTTCAAGCTTTATTACATTCTTTTCTGCAGATACATTGTTGCCATCTGGCACTAAAAGACTGCAGCATGAGCATTTTTTTGCCAATGCTCATGCTGCAAAAGCACTAGACAGGGAGAGAAGAGGCAAGGGGAAAAAGATGGATAGGCAGTTATGAAGATATTGCAAGAGGTTTTGTAAACTGAAATATGCCTGTGATGTTTTAAGTATATCATTAAGAGTTGCAATGTATGAAACAGACATTAACTGTGTGGTTTAGATCATCTGGGGTGGCCCTCTCGCTTTCGCCTCCGTTGCAAGCGCGGTTGGTGGGGACAAGGGAGAGGGCCTTCTCGGTGGTGGCCCCCTGGTTCTGGAACTCTCTTCCTAGGGAGATTAAACTGGCACCTATCCTGTCCACCTTCTGCAAGAACCTAAAAACATAGATGTTCTGCTGTGGCTTTGACTAGGCAGTTCCAAAGAATTGGCCCAGTATTACCTAAGTTCCAGCACTTTAGCATGGCCCTCCGCTCTACAATTCTGACATTTTAATGCCCATGAACATTATCCTCCCAGCCCTTCCTTCTGAATTTTGCACTTTCCCTTAGCTCTATCTAGGAACTTTTGTATTGTATTGTTGTATTGTGTGGGCTTCGGCCTGTTGTAAGCCGCATCGAATCCCTTGGGAGATGCTAGTGGGGTACAAATAAAGTTATAATATAATAATAATAATAACTTGCACAAACTCATAGCCCTCTGAACTCAGCACTTTCATCGTTCTGTATGATACTGTTTCTATGATGTTATATTTTATTGTGATATGTTTTTATTTGTTTTTGTTTTGATGCTATCTTATTGTGTTATGTTTTTAACTTTGTGCTCCCTGGGCTTGTCCCTTTGTAAGCCACCCCAAGTCTCTTAGGGGAGATGGAGGCAGGGTATAAAAATAAAGTTATTATTATAGTTTCAACATACAGGCAATCCCCAAGTAACAAACATCTGACTTACAAACAACTTATAGTTAAGAATGGGGCTGAGACAATAGATAGTGAGAGAAATCTATTCCTAGGAAGGGAAATTCACTTCTGAAAGAGCTATCATGGGGAAAATGTTTCTTCAGTGAAGCTTTGTCACCAATTTCCATTTCCAGAACAACCCAACATTTTGAAAATCCAATTGTCACAGGGACGAAAGTGAGGTGAAATCTTCTGAACAGCAAAACAAACAGGTGTTCATTATTCCTTATGATATCCTAAACAAAAAAATGGCTGGAGTTACATTTTAAAAACTTACCTGTGCTGACTTACATGCACATTTAATTTAAAAACAAACGTTTGTAACCTTGAGACTGCCTGTAATTTCAGTTGAAGTTGCATCAGATGGAAAGTTGAATGCCACTTCACCTTGTTTTGGAAGATGACTATTAGTATATATCCATATATAAATCCTGAAATGTTATTAAGAAAACAATCCTCCCAAATACAGATAGGCTATTTAATTACTTAATGATTGTAGTTAGAATAATATACACTCAAAAATGGAGAGCTAAAGAAACGCCAACAATAGAACATTGGATGCTGAAAATAATAGACACAATGAATATGGACAAATTAACTCAATTATTATCTCAACTCTCATGTAGAAATAAAATAATAATGGACTGGTCACTATTGAAAGTGTATCTGGCACATGAAAAAATAGACCTGATAATTGAAACAAAATGAAGATCCAAAGAAAAATTGTTCTCTAAGTTGAAGAAACAAGGAGGGGAAAGCAGAATTATAAGGAGTCAAGAAAGGACAATGTAAGCTACAATGAATAAGATTGAAAGCAGGCATGTAGCCGGGGGGGGGGGGGGGGGCTTGAGTGGCTTAACCCCCCCCCCCGAAATTCTCATGGTGGTCCGCGAGTAGGCCTTACTGGTCCATTATTTAAAGTGTTACGTTTATTCATATCATGATCTGATCACCATGCTCAAAATATCCCATATGCATGGGGGTATTGGGGTAAAGTTACAAAAGGTTTGCTAGGGTAGGCCCTCTTTCACTCAGACTCACCCCCCCCCCCCGAATCAACTCCCCCCCCCCCCCCCCGAATCAAAATCCTGGCTACGGGCCTGATTGGAAGTCATTTTTTGTTCTTCCCCTTCATACCTCCCTTTCCTTCCCTCGATCTACCACTTAGGATTTTGTGTGTATGTTTTTTCTCTTTTTTCTCTTTTACATGTACACTTGCGAGATAGCGTAGGGACAAGTGTACAGACAGGGGCGGCTCAACCCATTACGCAAAGTAAGCATTCGCAGTATAGTTGATTTTGCCCAGGGGTGCTCTTGAGGTGCTCTTGGGGGAAAATAGACCTTGACATATGCGAGTTGTAGTTACTGGGATGTATAGTTCACCTACAATCAAAGAGCATTCTGAACTCCACCAATGATGGAATTGAACCAAATATGGCACACAGAACTCCCATGATGAACAGAAAATATATATCAATGATTGGTTGGGGGGGGGGGGGGCACCAAAATACTGTTTGCTTACCATTGAAAATTACCCAGGGCCACCTCTGTGTACAGAGTTACTCTTCCATACCCTTCCTGATTATCCCCTTCTATTTTAAACTTTTTATACTCTAAAAATAAAACTTTGTGTTTGTAATCAATAAAAAATATTGGAAAAAAGAGAAAACAATCCCCCAAACACTGGGGTGACTTTATTTACCAGCCAATGTAGGAACTGAACCTTAATTCTTGTCAAAAAACAAACAAGCAAATAAACAATCCCTTCTCTGGTGAAAACGTAGTCCTTTCAAAGCCCTACCCTCCTACTCTCTCTGCTGCATCACTGTTTTTGGCCTTTTTAAATGAATGCCGGAAACTAAAATGGTACCACCAGAGTCCAGGTGCAGCTGGCTCCTGAGGTGTGCTGCCCCCACATGTCATACAGTCACCATTTGTCATAATTCCTTCCTTATCTGCCCAGCCTTTAGGATAAGTATGAATAGTTATGACTTCTAGAATTTCGCAGGGGTTTTTTTTTTGGTATTGTTTTCTTTTGCTTTGTATCTTTATATCTTTTGGTTCATGCCCCTGAGTTTTACTCTTGGTTTATCCACTGGTCATCAAAATCCATATTTTTGGCCTCCAAACCAGCTCTCGACTTATACATGAGGTTGATTTATAAATGGTAATTGGATTCATAAGTTTGAGAAGCAGGCTGTTGGGCTGTAATGAGTATAGGGCTCATGTGGACCACGGACCCCATTCTGCTAAATGACTAAAGAGTGAAGGTCTCAATCAGTGTTATGCATGAAAAATACAGACATTTAAATATAATTAGAAGTATTTGCCCATTCTTGACAGTAGCAACTGCAGTTTCTTCTGTTTCTTGCTTGTCACCTTTAAGCTTTGCTAATGATCTTCTGTTCTTTGAACAGGTTATGAGGTGCATGGGATGGATAAATTACCAGAAGGACCAGGACTTGTTGTATTTTACCACGGAGCCTTTCCTCTAGACTATTATTACTTCGTATGTAGACTCTATTTACAGACAGGCAGATTCTGCCGCACAGTGGTTGACTATCACTTTTCCAAAATAATAGGTAAATTTTTGTGAGTGTGCACCACATTGTAAATATTTGAAATTTATACTGTAATTACAATGTCATAATATCATATATGTTGTATGTTAATATGTGGCTCAAATAGAATTATTTATGTGTTTATTCATCATTTAACAACTGACTTAGCAGGCCAGCTGGTTGTTGCTATGAGTTTTTAAACTGACTGTCATAGCAACATTATAGCAATTCTGTTATAAAATTTTCTTGGCAAAATTTCTTTAGAGTAGGCTTGTCTGAATACAGCATAGCTTACCTTGTCTTCCTTCCAAGCACTAAGCCTTCTTCCCAGCTGAGGTTTTTGTGCCTTCCTTCAAGCGTTTAGGTTCCTTTTGTTTAGACTAATCAATAGGAATCAGGCATGAAAGTTTTTGTATTGGGAAAGGTATCTTTTCCTTAGGTTATGTCTACACTTACCCAATTAATCCAGGATAAACTGCTCCATAACTGCCCTGATGCATTCCAGGAACACCCCAAATCTATTTGGCCATTCATGTGGCTGGTCGGACTGAAGGCATATTGGGACCACTGCTGCTGCAACGAATAGCTCCCTGCCAGAGGCCTACACTATCTCCCACAAAGAAACACTTCTTTAACCATTTATTTAAATGGATCAGTATTTCAGTCTATAACAAACTGAGTGAGATCACTTTAAAGTTAGGAATACCCATGCTATCTTTAAGTATTCAAGACTGATAAGTGAATCTGAATGCTAAAATCTTTCTTTCCCCCTTTACATAAAATGCTTTTCATGTGGATGGCAGTTTTGTCACATTTCACATGTCTGGTGTCCTGGTGTGATGTTTCCAGGAAGCCTTTGGGACAGTGGATATGGCCAGATTCAGCTCTTCACTGGCTCTGAAGCGCCATAGCTTCCAAGAAGCTCTGGAGCAGCGGTTCTCAACCTGGGGTCCCCAGATGTTTTTGACCTTCAACTCCCAGAAATCCTAACATCTGGTAAACTGGCTGGGATTTCTGGGAGTTGTAGGCCAAAAACATCTGGGGACCCCAAGTTGAGAACCACTGCTCTGGAGTGAATCCTGTTTCTTTTTAAGGCACCTTAATGGTTGGAAGCAGTAAATCTGCAGTGAATCCAGCTATGTGTTGTCTAGACTCCCTTCAGTAGCTGAGAAGTGAGTCCACAATATTGGACCGTGTGGACACAACCTTTTGGATATTACGCCACTTTAACCATTGAATGCAAATCTCGGCCTTCCCAAGTGTGCAAAATATTTAGTCACATCTCCAAATTTGTCATAGTTGCCAATGCTTTCACCACCTCTACCAACATTTCAACATTTACCCAGTGATATTAAGGGTGTATCCAAGTGACCAGATTTGTTTGTAAGTTTTATGAGTCCCTAGAATAGCTGTCACAGGGACTTTCCCTTTTGTGTAGCTAGGTCTTTTCTGAATGATTCAAAATCTCCACTCCCAGGGCCATCACTGCTTTGTCTTTTCTCAGGTTCTTTTTTTCTTCTTCTTCATTCAGTGCCTGTTCATCTCATCTTTTGCTTAAACACTCTTGCTTCTGTATCTCTGTATTTCAAAGATTTCTACCAACTTTTATTATCCAGTCAAGGAACTGTGTGTGTTTTAAGGTACAGGACTGCCCCCTTGTGATCAAATGCAGCAAGACTTGTCACATTTGGATTGCAATGAAGACACACCACAGAAAGTGTTATTGTATTGTACTTTGGCTTCTTAAAATTATTTTTATAGGCAGTACCTGTTGAAAAGGCACACAAAAGTGCCATCCACATGAAACACATTTTATGTGAAGGGAAAAAAAAAAGATGTTAGCATTCAGATTCACTTATCAGTCTTGTATACTTAAAGATGGCATGGGTATTCCTAACTTTAAAGTATTTTAACTCAGTTTGTTATAGATCGAAATACTGATCCATTAAAATAAATGGTTAAAGAAGTGTTTCTTTGTGGGATATGGTGTAGGAATAACATCCATAAAAAGGGAACTATGGCTACTGTAGCTTTTTTGTGTCAGGAGTGACTTGAGGAACTGCAGTTGCTTCTGATGTGAGAGAATTGGCTGTATGCAAGGATGTTGCCCAGGGGACACCTGGATGTTTGATGTTTTACCATCCTTGTGGGAGGCTCCTCTCATGTCCCTGCATAGGGGGCTGGAGCTGACAGAGGGAGCTCAACTCGCTCTCCCCAGATTCGAATCGCTGACATGTCGGTCAGCTGTCCTGCTGGCACAATGGTTATAACCCATTGCACCACCAGGGGCTCCTACAGCGGATTGCCAACTATGCAGCTGTCCCTCTGACAAATCTGATGTTTGCAGATTTGATTACGGCTTTGATTTTAAAAGTTCTCTCCAGGAATCTCTAGGTCCTCCAGTGCAACTCTATGGTCAATTTCTTCCAGTCGTGCTGGATCACCTAGAGATTTTTCCTCTAGGAATCTCTAGATCTCCAGTACAATTCTATATACAACTTCCAGTAGAAGTTCACCACTGAGTTGTGCTGGAAGATCCAGAAATCCCCAGAGAGATGTTCCCTCAGGTAAAAATAGCTATTTCTCTTTTCACATGTCTTCACTTTTGTGGAGGTTAGTAAATGTGGAGGGACAACTGTTTCTGCATTCATAGTGAATACATGCTTGCAGCTGAGCTTCTTTATGCATTAGAGAGAAGATTTTTTAATGGTCAAAATACAGAGAATATACAGTTCTTATACAGATGAACTCATCTAACTGCTTGCATTGTGGATTCTGTTACAGGTATAAAGCTTTTTTATGATGTACAGGGCCTTACACACGATGGAAGAGTGGAATGTGTTGAAATTCTGAAAAAAGGTTACTTACTAGGAGTCTTACCAGGTGGAGCCCGCGAAGCGCTCTTTAGCGACGAAAACTATGGTCTCTTATGGGGCAGACGCACAGGCTTTGCTCATGTGGCCAGAGATGCAAAAGTGGTGAGTAACCTGGTGCAATTAAAAGCTCTGTGATATATTCAGATGGATATCTGTTTGCCTTAGCTCAGTTTTTTTAAAAACTGTAATAAAATCAGTTAAGCTCCAGCCCTTTCCTCAAGCGTGGTGAACAGATTTCTGTGGAGAGTTTTGAGAAGTTCTGAGATGGGATCTTTCACCTGCTGACATTTCTGCATAAAATTATTGGGAAGAGAGTACCTACAATATTTAAACAAGATGTTGAACCTCATTCCTTTTCAAGCAAGAATAGGACACTGAACCTTTTTGTTGTTCAAGCAAAAAGAGCCTGCTCTTTGAATAGCAGCTAACACAGTTCCCTAACAATTGGCCATGGTGGCATATTGCATTATTTTTATGCTGTATAGGATGTTGTTTATGTTATGATTTTTTTGTATTAAGGCACAGTGTGTGTGATTTTAAATTGAAACCTATGATAGCTAGAGAAATGTATTTCAAGAGGGGTTTATGAACTATAATAAAATAGTGGGAGAGACAACATATGATTAACTCTCTTCCACTGACATATTAAGACTTCTCAGCTAAAGAGCTGTCATGCCTTAGCAAAGTACATATCACAGGATGTTGTCATGGCTGTAAAAGTGGAACCATAGTGTTATAACTCTGTTTAGTGACAAGATTCATGGTGAATGACCAATAGACATGCTCCAGAAGCTTGGGGTACACTATTGCCTATTTTTGGGTCAAAAGAATACTCCTCCTTTTAAATTTGGAGTCATATGTGAATCATATGTGGCACAGCAAGTTAAACCTCATAACTGCAGAACTTACTGACCAAAAGGTCAGTGGTTCAAATCCACAGACAGGGTGAGCTCCCACCATTAGCCCCAGCTTTTGTCAACCTAGCAGTTTGAAAACATGCAAATGTGAGTAGATCAATAGGTACTGCTCTGGCAGGAAGGTAATGGCACTCCATGCAGTCATGCTGGCCACATGACATTGGAGGCAACATGTGGCCAGCATTTGGCTTAGAAATGGGAATGAGCACAACCCCCCAGAGTCGGACTCGACTGGACTTAATGTCAAGGGGAAACCTTTACCTTTTATGTGGATCCCTAGGGGTTCCATAAAAACAGACTTGTCCATGGTTGTTATATAAGCATCTTACTGAAAGTAAAATAAAATGCTAGAGATCCCTTAAGATGTTCACCATATTTAACCATGTGAACGTAAACTAACATATGAAGTTTTATCATTTTAACTGACAGCAACAAATGATTAATCTATAGTGTAGAATTAATGCAGTATGACACCACTTTAACTGTCATGGCTCAATGGTATGATACCAGGGAATTTGTAGTTTGGTGAGGCATCAGCACTCTTTGGCAAGGAAGTCTAAAGATGTAAAACTACACCTCCCAGGATTCCATAGCATTGAGCTATGGCAATTACAGTGATGTCAAATTGCATCAATTGTATAGTGTAGATCAGTGGTTCCCAACCTTTTTTTTTTGATGAGGGGTCACTTGACCAGGGACCACTCTCCAACATAAGTACTGAAAGGGTTATGACTCAATTTTTGGTCAACTTTAGAATTGGTTTGGTTATTTGAGGTACTGATTCAGAGAATTGCATTGGATAGACCATATCAGCTCTAGTTTCTGATACAGAACATATGCCATTCAGTAGTTGCCATCTGCTTGCCCACAGAAAACCATATTTAATAAGCCTCGGCACTATAAGAGGGTTTTGCGAGACCAGTTGCTCTCGTTCAACAGTGTAGTAACGGTGAGGCTGCAGACCATATTTTAGTTCTAGCGGACCATTGGTGGTCCACAGAGCACAGGTTGGGGTCCACTGGTGTAGATGCACCCTTAGATTACAGTCAGCTAAGTAACATGATTGTTGTGTTTGGACAGGAATGTTATACACCAGGTTACAGGAATGAGTCTCAAGCTTTTATAATTCCTCCACATCTATCAACTCCTGGTTTTGCTCCTGTTTTTAATTAACAGCTGTTTGTCATTTTGCTCTGGACCAGGTTTTGTTAGTTTTGACAGTGGTTTATGAAAACATTTTGTCTAGACATATCATTTATTTCTATTTAGACATTTAACCTAAATCTTCAGTGATGGTTTCAGACCTTGGTCTTTGAATTAGTTTATTTTAATAAACAGTAATTAAGAAAACTAATCATGTTTTAGAGTTTAGATGTCAATGGGAGTCCACAGCGTGTCCTTTGTGTTTTGCATGTGTATTTATGTCCTATGGGATGCAGAGATACTCAGTATAGGAGACACTTCTTTGTGCTTAAGCTGTTTCAGCAACTTCTGAGCTTTTCCAGATAGATCTGGATGAATATTTCTTTCTCTTGTCTGCTCGCCAAAATGCAGGTGATACTTAAATGTCAGTTTTATGAAATGAAATTGGAATGTTGATCGTAAAATTGTTATAAACCTACATGTATTTTTTTAGAAACTGGTTTTTAAGAGGTAGCTTTTTCCATCAAGATAAAACGTTCTTTGTACGCATAGATATGACACCCATGACATAACATAATCTATATTCCTTAAGGATCTTCAGTTATTTTTAGTGCAAGATCTTTAAATAATGAAGGCTGAAATACTTCCCTAATTATGGCTACTTTTCTCCCACCTTTCTCAGCCTGTCATCCCTATATTTACAAAAAATCTACGTGAAGGATACAGAACACTTGGAAAAATATGTAAGATTCCCCTTGCATCTTCCCATATGCTTATGCCTTTGTGGTAAACACATTACACAGAAAGAAAACCCTCCCAATTTCAGTTGATCTTCTGTGTAATTGTGTTTAGAATTTTGGTCCTGGAAACTTTGTTGGTGTTCTTAACTTTCTGCCTTCATGCATCCTTCTCCTTTTTCTCCCTGTTCCTTTGCTTTGTGCTTTTTCTGGCCTGTCTTATCCTGTCTTTGTTCCTGTTTTATTTGGCTGGTTTTTCAGTGTCTTTGAATTTCTTTAGGTGTCCAGTTGCATTGGGTCCTTGGCCGATTGATGCAGAACTACTTGAACTGCAGTCTATCCCACATTTATATACATATTAGCCCATTGAAATCAATGAAGTGTCAACATTTATAATTATGCATTCGGTTAACCCCCTGGTATTTATAGTGCATGATAATTTACGCATATGTTTTTGCACAGTTCCTTGTCAATTGCATGACCTTTGTTCATTTAACATCAGAGCTACTTCTACTTCCTAGAAGTTTGTCAGATCCTGAACATGTTTTCAATTTTGTACACAGGGCCATTCAAATGGCTATATGAACGTACCCGATGGCCAATTGTTCCTGTATATGGAGGGTTTCCAGTCAAATTTTGTACATACATAGGAGATCCCATTCCTTATGATCCAAATATAACAGCTGAAGAACTGGCTGAAAAGGTAAATTTGGTGTGCTATTGTAACCTATACGATCTGTATTCTTAGCTGCAATCAGAGGCAGCCCTAGGTAATTTTCAACAGTAAGCAAACAGTATTTTGGCACCCCTCCCCCCACAACCAATCACTGATATATATTTTCTGTTCATCATGGGAGTTCTGTGTGCCATATTTGGTTCACTTCCATCATTGGTGGAGTTCAGAATGCTCTTTGATTTTAGGTGAGCTATACATCCCAGTAACTACAACTTGCATATGTCAAGGTCTATTTTCCCCCAAGAGCTCCTCAAGAGTGCCCCTGGGCAAAATCAACTATACTGTAAATGCGTAATGGGTTGAGCCGCCCCTGGCTGCAATGCATGTGCACTGGAACTTTTGAAAAGGAAGAATGATAAAGTTCTGGTCTTATAGGTGCTAAAATTGTATATGATGATGAGATGTCATACCCTACAAGTGGATTTCAATTACTCCATGTGTGTGCTCCTTCAAGGGTGCATCTATCTTGTGGAATTAACATAGCTGGAGACCATGGCTTAATGCTATGTAATTGTAGAAACAGTACTTTTACAGGGTAGATTTCTCTGCCAAATAGTATTGGTACCTCAGCAAACTACAACTTCCATGATTCAGTAGCACTGACTGGTGCCAAACTGCATTGATTCTACACAGTAGACCTTGTTGATATGCATACTAGCATTTATGGGGCATTACTTGTTGCCTGCATTGATTAAATATTCCTCCAAAAAGCAAAAAACTAGATCACAATGGACATACCTGATCTTATCTAATTTTAGAAACTCGGTATGGGGAAACCATTAGGACATAAATTGATTTCTGAATATGGCTAGGATATAACTTTGCCTGAAACCCTAGAGAGCCGCTGCCAGTCAGAGCTGACAAGACTAGGCTGGATGGAACAGTGAGCTGACCCAACACAAGGAAGCTTTCTATGGGCACATCGACACTGACCACTTAGGTCAGTTTGGAACTTGTGTGGAATAAAACAATTTCGCTGTACGTATGATTAGACTGACATGTCTCGAACAGGTTTGAGACCTGGAGGGTGATTACATTGATCATGGATGCTGGCCTCAAAATAGTTCCAAAGATCACAGTATTTTTTCTCCCACTTGCAGGTGAGATGCCCACAAGCATTATTGGGGCATTATTTGTCCCAAGGGACAAATTAGCTTCCTGCCTAGCTCTGCACCCTTGGAGTGGTTTTTGGCAGCCCTTTGCTCTTGCCTTTTGAATTTTAGCGGGTGTCTACAATATGCTTCACATTTTGTGGCATCAGTTTTGCCATGAGATGTGGTTTACATTTGGGGTGAGTTGACTCACATTAAGGGGTTTAACTCAGATTTTCTTCAACTTGGCTTAATCCACTTTAAACCTTTAATTTGTACAGTACAACAGCACTCTTTGTCAGCATGTGTATTCTAGCTGCTGCAGCCTGGAGTCGGCCTTAAACTTCATGAAATGGTCACTGTAGATGTTCCCTATGTACTTAGTATTTAGTCTTCAGGCCTATATCTGTTTTCCTAAACTTAGTGGAACTCAATGAGCCAACATATCTAGCAAGCATCCACAGAGAGGACTTTTGCACCAGTATCGTCCCACTCCTTATAGTCTTTCCTTTAGACTGCATAATTGTAACACACCTCAATTGGTTTTCAGGAGAGTTATTGCCCACTGTTGGTCACAACTCTTATCTTTGTGTAGCAGCTTAGCAGAGGGAAACCTTTCTCAAAGTCAAGTCACTCAAGTGGTTGGACAACAAACCCCATTATCCCCAAATGGTAATTTTCTTCTAAATTTGTTTGTTTTTGATGGAAGGAACTAAACTCTGCAGCTAAAAATAAACAAACCATTTGTTTTTATTTATTATTTTAAACTTGTGTTGGCATTGAAAGTACATCATAAAAATGCTGGTCAAATATTTTTCTGAGATAATATGAAGAAAAAAATAATATGTTCCTTTTTATTTTCCCTCCCTTAATCTCTCTTTTAGACAAAGGCTGCAATGAGAGAACTCAGAGATATGCACCAGAAAGTACCAGGTAGCATACTAAAAGCCCTTTTGGAAAGATTTGGTAAACATCCAGTTGATTAATATCTTGAAAGAAAGCTTTATTCTCCTATTTTTTTCCATCTCTAGAAAAAGTCAACTCAGTAGTTTCTTTGCACTAAAAACAAAACTATACAGAGTTAATTTAGAAGCACTTACACAACTAAACTCCTAATCAACCTTGTTCTCAAGTATGGACAAAAATGTGACTAGACTCACTCTGAGGGAGTGTCATCAAAGTTGAAGAATTTAATTTGAGCATTAAGTATGCTGTTCTGATTTGTATTAATTAGCAGTCTTGTGTATTTATTACTCTTCTATTTCGTAATTAAGCTTTTATTGCTTATGCCACCTTCCCTCTTTGATGATGAAGCATGAAATGGTAGGGACCACATCTTTCACTCACAAACAAGATATTCCAGCACACAGATACTATCTCACTCCAGGAATTCATGGAAAAACTATTAAGAGTGAAGGATGGTTGTAGATGGAGAAACCTTGCTGAATTAATGACACATTGAAACAGCCTGTTGGGAATTCATTTGATTTGGTGAAGCTGCAATATAAAGGATGCATAACATGTATTTTGAGGCCTAAATACCCTAAAGTCATCAGATTCCATCTAATCTTAAACACTAAAAAAGGTCAGCCCTGGGTAATCAATGGATGGGAGACTTCAAATAAATGCCAGGTGCTGTAGGCTACATTTCAGAGAAAAACATTGACAAAAATAGCCTAAGAAAACCCTGTGAAAATCATGAAATCACAGTGAGTTGAGAGATGATTTGTGAACATGCACACATGTATAAGATATACCTTGGTTGCATTTGTTCATGTCTGGATGCCCACTTCCAAGAGTGGTGCTGGTTGAATCTCTGCTCGGCACCATGATTTTTATTTTTCAAGAATCCTCAGATCTCTTCCTCGTCCATTATTATTATTATTATTATTATTATTATTATTATTATTAATATCCTGCTTTCTCTCTCTCTAAAAAAAAAAAAAGACTTAAAGCAACTTCCAGAAGAAATGTACAATACAATTTATTTTTTAATCTCCTATACTGTTGAACATCAAATGAAATCACTGTACAGTATCATCTGGGAATTCAGAATGCAGTGCTGCTATATGTACTATACTTCACTGTGTAATCGTTGCACTTTTAAATCCCTTTCTTTTAGGGGGAAAAAGTGGGTGCAAATATTATGCAGTGGAAAAATTTCAAGCTACGGCACTCCACTTGGGGCAGCCAAGCAAAACTCCATAAATGGGAGAGGGGAGGTATGTGGCCAAGTGAAGCTTCACTTGCCCATGCACCAACCCCTCCCTTCCAGCTATGAGGCCTCACTTGCTCACCTGTGCGACTGCCCCCTCCTTCCGGCCATGGGGCTTCACTTGGCTGAGCAAAGTGTCAGCTGAATAAAGCCCCATAGCTGGAAAGGGGGGCACATGGATGAGTGAATGAAGCTGGGTACTTTTGGACAATGAATCAAGGCTGCGACAATTATGCAGTGAAAGCAAAAATACCAAAAATGAACAAAGGGGGGTGGGGAGCAGTTGTGACTATTATGCAGTCAAAACGATTACATGGTGAAATATGGTACTTTGTCAAATGAGACACTGGAAGTGTTTAAAATCTAGTTGTATTAAGGATTGGATGAAGACCAGTAAATGGGCAAAATTCAGACTAGAGGCATTATTATTATTATTATTATTATTATTATTATTATTATTATTATCTGCCTTGGTTGTTGTATTCAACTTTTTATATGCATCCCCCCCAGATGGGATTCAAGATACTTCACAATTATGTGAACTAAAAGAAGAATATGAAAGGATCATGTTTGTAGCTTGAAGATGTTCATTTTTTCATGTTTATCATTTATAACTGTGACTCCATTGTGAATATGCAATGCCCCAAAATCGCTGTCTACTGGTATTTCACAGCTGAGGGCATTATACCTGAAGGATTGCTCTTTTCTACACAAACCCCCATGCCTGATGGACACAGCTTTTCTAGTAGTGAGTACTTCCTGGAGAGGCTTGTTTGCTACCTATTTTTATACCTTTCCAGCATTTGACAAATACTTTGTTTTTTTTTAAGCATCTTAAATTATGTTATGGTTTTATATGCTGTGGATTTTATTGTTTGGCCTCAGTTGTAAATTGGTTTGTTAATGCTAAGTTTCATTTCCTCTGTTACCTATTTTTAAAGTGAGTTATAGTTTAATTCTGTTGCTGTACTTTGATGTTTTACTGTAATTTATTGTGTTTACTCCCTCTAAGCAAACAAGAGAAATTTTGTTACAAGGGACCCTGTAAATTATATGTATGTATAAACAATAAAATTCACTTTTCCAGATAAGCATCATGTGCAATCATTCTGCAACTGAATTCCACCCAGGCCTACAATCCTAAATATACTCACTGACTCATTATCTAGTGTGTGTATAAACATCTGGAGGTTATATCATGGCACAGGATTTATTATCACATCCTCATGCTAACGTTGAATGTAGTTGAATTGTTAATCATAGAATTGGGAGGGAGCTTGGAGGTCATCCAGTTCAACTGTTTGTTCACTGCAGGATTTCTAATGCAAGATGAAGCAACAACATTCATGAATAATTTCCACCAAACCTTTGGAAAAGTATCTTCAGTGAAACAGCTTATTATATTCCCAAGGCAATTCATTCCACTGTTGAACAACTAACTTCTCATAATTTGTGCCTTTCTTTCTTCTAGTCCCATCTGCTAGACCAACTGAAAACATCTCTTATCTTCTGAATGATTTCCCTATGTTCAAAATCACAATGTTGTGTTTTTATGGACTATGCTACAAGGAGTGAATCATAGCTGCTGTAGCAGTCCTATTGCCTTGTCTTCCAAATAAAAAATGTCTTTCAACACACACCTTTCCTAACTCCCATATAACTGCATGACATCCTTTGTTTACTTGTCTGCCCTTCACTGCATGTCCAGGTCTCTATATTTCCCCCCACACATACTGTCTAGGACATCCACTTTTAATAAAGCTGCAACACTCTTGAGGCTAAAACAATGTTCTTGGTAGTTTTAGCAGAAGTTCTCAGAGCCTAAAGTTTTTCCAGGAAATTTTGTTTTAGTGCAATATCTTCTAGTGCCTGTGAATTGATCAATATTATTCAGCATACATGTCTCAAAGTAACCAAAGGGTAACAATATTCTGGACAAGCTTTTGAGGTCTCCAGAAATCTTCATCAGGAAATATGGTCAACAAAGCAACTCTTGGTATGGGAGGAGGGAAAAGTTTAGTACAATGAAAACACAAATTCTTTTGAAGACACTTCTCTTTCCTTATTATACCCTAACTTAACAGTACAGTCATGATCCTATGATCCCTTGGTCCTCAGGGTTCTTCGACCAGATAGATATATAAAATGACAAATAAAAAAATTAGCTGAAGCAAAAAGATATCTGAGGGTCTCAGCATAGCTCTTCAGCATGGGAACAAAAAGCAAGTGATGAGAAAAGAGTTGGTTTCGTAGTCTGCAATGAGGGTTCTTTGGAGGTAATGATTTATAGGATTTCATGGTTCTTGCTTCATCCCATATGTATAAGTTCTGAATTCAGCAATTAAAGCAAACACAGGGAAACTGTCCCAGTTCTTTGGGTTGAGCTGATACAACCTTATTAAAAGTAAGAAAGCTTCAAATTTGTCAGTCAGAGATAATGTTGTGTTCATGTCTATGATAACTGGATTTCAGTAAATGGAAGACAGTCTTGATTCGGTTTCAGCTATATGCATTTCCAGGAAAATAATTCTCTTGTGGATGTCTGAGGCATATTGCATTTATTTAAAGTGATATGGAGAGAGGGAGGTGGACTCTCCAGCACTGAGTTGTGAGTTTTCCTCCAGTCTAAAGGTACTTTTTTGAAAGTTTGAGGCTTGGATCCATAGAACTCTTCAGATGGTGGTTAATTAAGTGCTGAAATTGGTGTAAGGCTTACAGTAATGCAGGATACAATATTTTCATAAAAATGATAAGATGAGATTGTGTAATGCACTTAAAGATTCATGGCTACCATTGAGACCTCTCCAGTTAAATAATCCTCACTAGCTTATCCTACAGGCTAAGTTTCTTTGGATTTCACCCTGGCCAGTTGATAATAGTCAGGAATGAATGTTGTGGTCTTTCTGTCTGAAGCACTTCCAGCTTCTTCTGCATAACAGGATGGAATTTCAAGGGCTAATTTTGTTTCATTTGCAGGGCTAATCTTCCTATTTTAAGCATCATCATAATTTCACTGAACAGCTTTGTTGCCCAATGGAATAGGTTGGTTGATGGGAGCAACATTCACATATGACATTATACACAGAAGTAGTTTGTCGTAGCTGGTTATCCTGGAATCATGAATGGCCCAGTGGTTCTTAACCTGCGGGTCCCCAGATGTTTTGGCCTTCAACTCCTCAGAAATCCTAACAGCTGGTAAACTAGTTGGGATTTCTGGGAGTTGTAGGCCAAAACACCTGGGGACCCACAGGTTGAGAACCACTGGGTTGACCCTTATCTCATCATACAGCAATATCACAAGGCCATGTATTAGACCAAGGGTGAAGCAAAGAGGTAAAGTGAGAAAAGAGGAAATGAGTGAGGTGGAGAATAGAGGTAGCAATACCAAGAAAGATGGAACCCAATGAGAGATAGTAAAGAGAGAGAGAGAATCCAGGAAAGTACAAAGTCTGCCATGCCAGACTGTCATGAGGTTCAAGTGGGTCAATTTGCTTGTTCCACAGTGAAAGTGCTTCATCCTACAAAGAACAAGGAAAAAGAAAACCAGCTCAACATAATTAACAAACCACCTGAGAGATTAATCTAATTTTTTTTTGCTTATCTCTTCCTCTGGGGAACCAGCTGTAACAGAGTGAGAAAGAACAGATGAGAAGTATAAGGAAATGATTCTTGAAAAGGAGCGACAACTGAAAACAACTGCCATTTAGGATGGCAACTATTTGCTTGCATTTCAATACCCCTGGTCTCAAAGGAATTCTCTATGAACTGACATATCTTGCATAGGTGAGTAATCCTGCGAAATAATTGGGAAGTCTATCCAACAAATACTAGTTTTGTACCTGTTTTATGTCTCTTTTTGTCTCTGGAATGGAAGATGGGCAGTTTGATATTCTTTCTCTTTAGGGAGCTGCTGACAATGATACCATTCTCCAGCTCTAATCAGAAAACCCTTCCAAGAAGTCTTTCTGGGACCAATTCAATAAGATAGTCTGCTCTAACTAACAATTAACAATTGCCTGCCAGAAAGTAACCTTCCCATTTTTTTCCACAGAAATGTGGGAAAATGTGGATGGGTTTAAATTATTAATGTTTACCACATAGATTCTTTTGTTGAAAGTTGAGAGCAGCTGTGAAATACTTTAGGTTTAACATTCAGACAGGGTTACCCATCCCACTTCCCAATATTTTAATGAGGACAAAATGTATCTTTGGGGAGACATTCTTCTTCAATGACACAGGAAAAAAAGCTTACCAGGTTTCTGGATTAGGACCCTTTGAGTAGTAAAAGGAGCCATAATCAGTCACTAGACTACCCATTCAAATAGCTGCACTGCAGGATTTAGTCCTCTGAGTAGCTTTAGCTAAAATGTTCAGCGTTCAGCAGAATGAAAAATTAGGAGACATCCAACATAAACGGGCAGGCAGAATGCTGGACAAGTGAAAATGTTGGATAATGAAGAAGGATTAAGGAAAAGCCTATTAAATATCATTATGATTTTAGAAATTAAGCACCAAAACATCATGTTTTACAACAAATCGACAGAAAAAGCAGTTCAATATATGGTAACTTTATGTAGTAATTACTGTATTTATGAATTTAGCACCAAAAACATCGCAATATATTGAAACAGCTGGGAGGCAGACTGGATTGGATAATACAGAATTTTGGATGAGCAAAGGTTGGATAAGCAAGACGATACTGTATTCTAAATCTCCATTTATTTTAGATTAGTATTTCTAAAACAGTGCTCCTCCAGGCGTTTTGGACTTTAGCTCCCAGAAATCCCAGCCAGCCTATCAGCTGTTAGGCATTGTGAAAGCTGAAGTCCAAATATCTGGAGGAGCATAGTTTGAGAAACTCTGTTTTACACAATGGGTGACTAATAACAAATCTCACTATCCATTTAATGATAAGTATGTCCATGGAGCCCCCGGTGGTGTAGTGGGTTAAACTGCTCATCTTCTGAACTTGCTTACGGAAAAGTTGGTGGTTTGAATCCTTCGGAGTGGGGTGAGCTCCTGCTGTTAGCCCGAGCTTCTGCCAACCTAGCAGTTCAAAAACATGCAGATTGAGTAGATGAATAGGTACCCCTCTGGCGGGAAGGTAATAGCGCTCCATGCAGTCATGCCAACCACATGACCTTGGAGGTGTATATGGACAACGGCTCTTTGGCTTAGAAATGGAGATGAGCACCACCCCCCAGAGTCGGACATGACTAGACATAATGTCAAGGGGAAACCTTTACCTTTATGTCCATGGTGTGTTTATGATGGAATAATATAATGCTGTGCCACTGACTGCAACTACATTATGCCCTCTGCAACTGTGGGACCAGTTTCAATTTAGAGATTTATTCCCAGCCCAGCACAGATTTACTTACTAGTATTGAAGTATCAGTCAGTCCTCTTTGCAGAATGGTAAACTGTGTGGCTAGCTGTCTGTTGCTACAGAGGGACAAATCTCTCCCCTATCCTGATTGAGGCTTTCCAATGCTGAGCAGAATTCTGGGAAATGTAGTTTAGGGTAGGGCCTTTTGAATTCTCTGCCATGGGGCTCCTCGCTTTGCTAAATTATATTTCCCAGAATTCTGTGCTCTCTCAATCTCTTTCCCAGCTCACTCAGCTCATCCCATCCTACTGCTTTCCTCTCCTCTCTGCCTCACTTGCGCTAAAAATTGAAACTGACTTCTGAGCATTACAGAATTCAAAACTATTGGGTCAGTTTTGATTCTTAAGTTTTTGCATGAATCAGATACAACTTATGATTTAAAAATGAAGATTTGTACATCCCTAATACTTACGTTCTTAAACAACACTCAACCCACTTGTAATTAGATGGTCCTGCAGCAGAGGGAGCTCCTAATCCATAGAACGTAAAGTTCCAACTCTTCAGCAAATTCACCCCTGCACCAAACTCATGAGAAGCAAAACACTGTTGGAGTCTGGAGTCTCAGGTTGACACACTGGTAGAACCTCTTTATTTTCTGGATGGTTTGTGTTTCATGACATAGCTGAACTCCCTGGAAAAGGTTTTACTGGCCAGCTGTCCTGTTCTGGCATTAACAGACATGACAGGTGATAGCCAGGCACT